ACGGCAGTGACGTGTTGTACGTGGTGATAACGAGTATACAACCACTGATTTTAGCGTGGAAATAACATCAGCATCCACTTAATTTGTGATAGTTTATCCACTGGAGGGAGGTAATCTGACCTCTTGGTTATACCTAGCTTAGCATTATAATGACTATTAAAATGTGTTTGTACAAATGAGGTAATGGTTGTGGGGAAAATGTTACGGGATAGGCAGGCTGGTGGGGAGACGTGTTGGTTCAGGGGGAGTGTTGGGGGGGGTGATGTGGAGGGTGACGGGAGACAATGAGTGTTTACGGTGTGGAGGCAGAGTGACGCCTGCTAACACAGCCGCCATTATTCCTTGCTGCTTGCCATCCAGGGATCCCCACTTAAACCCATTGGTCTTCTGTCGTGCTCTTGTTTAGTTCTTGTGATCCGTTTTGGTTGTGCAGCGCTGGTGGTGTACGCTGTTGACTGAAGTTTTAATTTGACAGTGATGTTTACAGTCCACGATATGTCGACAGCCATTCCTGGAGAAGTTCTGGCGACAATAAATGTTCACGAAAGAACGAGTCCTATCATTTGAGTTTTCTCGATCATTCCTATTGTCTACATACCAGTCTTTAGCAGGTAAAGGCTTGCTGTTTCCCGGATTTAGGTCGGCTTCCATTACATAATACAGTAATCCCTGTTTGTGTTGTCAGAGTTGCAACCAAAGAAAAACTAGTCGGCTGCATAAATACTCTTCTGTCTAATGGCTTGGTCTCCATTGGACGAACCTGTCTTGCTTATGAAGGCTTAACAATGATCCAGACAGTTAACCACTGAATAACGTTGTTATTCTCTGTTAATTCTCTGGTCAAGTCTATATAAATAAAATAAAATAAATAAATAAATATAATATATATATATATATATATATATATATATATATATATATATATATATATATATATATATATATGCAAGTAAATCACTGGAGGTGCGCGTGATCTAGGTATATGCTGATAACCACAAGGAAAGAAGAAAAACACGAAGTTCCCAAGCGCTTTCGTGTAATTCACATCTTCGGGGGTGAGTACAGTCTAAGGAGAAGTGCAAAACAGGGTATATATATATATATACAGAGGAGGGTGAGATGTGAGTACAGAAGAGGAATGTTGGAGAGTACACAGTGAGCCTAAAGAACAGTCGTGGGGTGTACGACGCCATTTACGATGACCTTGCCCTGATCTTGTTTCAGTTATACTACCCTTTTGAAGCTCTGGAGAGATCTCGAAGTTTCGATATTTTGAGTACAGCACTAGCTAATAATTCCCACCAGGAAACTTGTTTCGAGACTCCTCCAAAGCTTCGAAAAGTGCAGAATTCCATGTGTTAAAGGCGATATTGCTGAAAAAAGACCAGGGCAAGAAGGTCATCGTAAATGGCGCCGTACACCCCATAACCGTTCTTGCAATTGGCCCAGACTGGAGTAGATGAGACAAGAAAAGTTTAGAAAAAGTGATGGTGCCCGCCTTCTGCTATGAGACACTGGCTCAACGCGTGGGTGGGTGAGAGCATCAAGGGTGGGCAAACACGTAGGTGGGTGAGAACATCAAGGGTGGGCAAACAAGTGGGTGGGTGAGAGCAGCAAGGGTGGGCAAACACGGGTGGGTGAGAACATCAGGGGTGACAGTGTGGGTGGGCAGCAAACACGAGGCAAGGGTGGGCAAAGGGTGGAGAGCATCAAGGTGGGCAAACACGTGGGTGGGTGAGAGCATCAAGGGTGGGCAATCACGTGGGTGGGTGAGAGCAGCAAGGGTGGGCAAACACGTGGGTGGGTAAGAGCATCAAGGGTGGGCAAACGAGCGAGTGAGCAGATGAAAGATGGGTCAACACGTAGGTGCTAGGTGGGTGAGGACATGAAGGGTGGGTCAACACGGGTGGGTGAGCAGATGAAGGGTGGGTCAGCACGTGGGTGGGTGAGGACATGACGGGTGGGTCAACACGGGTGGGTGAGCAGGTGAAGGGTGGGTCAACACGTGGGTGGGTGAGGACATAAAGGCCTGTGGGTGAGGTAGAAGGGTGGATCACCTGGGAGCAGCATGGAGGCATTATCATGCCTCACTGCCGTTGCTATGGAGCGCGACGCACCTGCTGCCGGCGACAAAAACAATCCAAGTCTTCCATTGTCATAACCTCCAGACGCTGGTTTCTCTGGTCCCTGCACACCGGCAGTAACTCTTCACTACTGTGCTGTGAGTCATGGCGAGAAAAATGGCAGGTCAACACGGGTCCTCTTTAATTTGGTGTACTTGACATGCTACATGCTGATTTTCCGTGCAAGTTTCCTTCCTCAAGAACATGAAAATGGGGCAAACTGCAGCGGGCCAAAAGGCTTATTTATTAGGCAGCCCCGTTTACACCCAATCCATATCACTCGTATATCTGTCCAACATATATTTGAAGCCTCCCAGGCGTTCCAGCGATGATGATGTTTGGTAACTTGTTCTACTCAATCTTCAGTGAGACAGAGCTGTTCTCCACTAGTTGCAGGCATGGTAAACTGTCTGGTTAATCCCCGAGAGTTAATTTGCCATAACCTTTCCTCGAGCGAGGCCTGATTAAAGCCCATAATCTGAAGAAAAAAATATCTTTAGTATCCACAATTCTGCTGATGAATGGCATTCTAAAAATTAAGGCAAGAGTTAAAGAAAAAGAATCGCTGTGAGAAAACCATTAAGGAAATTCCGAAGTATGAAATACAAGTAAACAAAGTATATCTTGCTCAGGGAGGGAGCAGTTCTTCCACATCAACAAGAACCTGCCAACTGTGGTGCTACAACGTTGCCAACGAGATCAGTTTTGCGTACACATAACCTGTCCATTACCTCCCCACGATTTATTTTTTATATAATTTTATTCATTTGAATTTTTCAGTTTGATTTTATTACAAGAAAAATTTATTATTTAAGTAAAGTACTGTATGTGAAGGAAAATGAAAGGTAGACATGGTGAAGTTGGTGGCGTGTGTTGGGGTTGGCTGGCCTGGCTGCTCCAGTGCCAGTCACCATTTATCACGGCTGGTCGACAAACAAACAGAGGTGATTTCACAATGGGATAATCGTGGCAGTAATCGAGTTGTTTACGGCAGCTTTTATCCGCGCCCGGCATCTGATGGACGTTGATTGGAGAAAGGATCCTGTCTTGTTGGATTTTGTATTGGTTGTAAATTAATTAGACTGCGGGTAGGGCTGTGAGTGCTCCCGGGGTGACACGAACACACAAATCGAAAATGTAACCAACTTCCTTACGCTCGAGATACAGTGCCCGATACAGGTCTTATTTTACTACACACACACATTAGATCTGTTAATAACGGCAAAGGGATGTTAACAAACTTAATCAAACCCAGCGAGGGTAGTCTACGTCCACACTGATTTATTAATTTTGGGTGATGGAGAGTAATGGTGCTCGATCCCATCCTGGGAGAAAAATATGAGAGGGTGACGAGGAGCATTAACTGGTCTCTAATTCTCTACAGTCTATACGGGATCCAGTCAAACGAGTAATAATGCCAATAAACCTCTAACCTAATTTAACTAATAGCATTGGAGCTCCACTCGTTTATTTCATGTGTTATCAAACTCAACCCTAGTATTGTTAGGTTAGGTTAGATTAGGCTGGGTAGGTTAGGTTGGGACCCATTAAAATAAGGGCCAGTGTTGACAAGTGTGAATGGCACCTGACCAGTCGCAGTCATGGGTAAACATGCTTCATAACCAAACCCCACCAGGTAGCGTTTGGGTGTTTAATCATCAGGTGACAGATTTCAGAACGCTGGGAAGCTACCATTCAAAAAATCTGTGACCTTTGTGAATTTTGTAAAAAGGAAATTTTAATATGTAAGAAGTACAAGTTGCTGCGTGTTTAAGACGGACTATTTAGGTCCACAGTCTCAAGGTTTTTGCGATGAATATTAAAATTATTGGTGAATGAAGTTAAGTACACCTAAAAGATTTTACTTTCGCTAAAGGATAAAAATAACTCCCAAAATAGCTTAAAAATTACCCAAGTTATATTTATGCCTCGTCACTCAAAATTAACGTAAAGATTTTTTTTCAAAGAATCTATGCGTTGACTTTTTGCTTGACTTATAAAGTGAACGTGTCTAATAAAGGCGTCGCTGACTCTAAGATTAGTGCTATTGTGGACGTTGTGTTTTAGCTGAAGTCAACAGATTAGGAATATTCTCGCATCTACAGTAATAAATAATAATTTATGGTTTATTGAAAGAGCTTGACAGCCGGAGGGCTGAAAATATACAGTTACATAACTGGGGAACGTGTGTGTGTGTGTGTGTGTGTAGAACACTACATACAGTAAACACTTGTAAAACGGCACAGATGAACAAGGTTACGCAGCTGTCACGCGGTAAAATAGTGAAATATGGTACCTGTACAGTATGTGTAACGCAGTACTTTTATTTACCGTAAATGCACGTAAAACTGACAAGAGTAATACTGCTAAGAGTGCATTGTGAGAAGTTCAAAGACATGTGTTGATGTATGGCACATATATGGGACACCTGCAACAGTGCGTGTGTTAGGTGTTACTGATGGTAAACCGGGTAACAATTTTTATGTTGTAAGTGATAAGGGATCGTATCAAAGGTTTAAAGTTGGCACGAAACTTTTGGAACCTTCTTGAACTTGTGTGTAAAGACGATTAGAGTGTCTATGGATGTAAAATTTACTACTGCCACCTTGAGCATGTAGCAAAACACATACAGTATGTTGAAGGAAATATGTATCTTCTAACACATGAATATTGCTGACCTTAGTGTCGCTTTACAAACCTCTCTCCACACACGTATTTAAAAAACAACTTCGAATTCCTTGTAAGACACCTAAATTGCACATTTGATCATTAAACAACGTCACATACCAGCACAATGCAAAATTAAATTCCTTACACAATGTTGAGAGTTGTTGGTGTTGTCTAGTGGCTGACACATGACTCCCTTCTTCTTTCCAGCTGACTCACGCTGGGGTTGAGTTTATCCTGCTGACCGAGGAGGCAGAGAAGAGGTACGCCAGATGAAGTAGGACGTAAAGCATTTTTTTTAATGTAATAAACCCAGCAGCAGGCATGGTATCTAATAACACACACTCGAGATCCCACTGGTGTATCTGTGTGTTTAGTTAAGGTGCTGTAAGTATGGTATCTATATAGGATCGTCGACCATAAGATCACTTGTTATTGCAGTGTTGTCCTGTAGCTGTGGTGTTTTGGAATGTCACTTCCCGCGCAAACCCCAATATTTTTCATGTTTTGGCGGGAACCCTCCGGCGTGATCCATCACCCCTCCACGGTATCTCGCGATAAACATATCAATAACTGAGCCCAGCCATCAAGAATCGTGGCCCACCAGCGGCGCTCGAGTTTTCACATTAATTATTTGATAACATTTAAATGTGAAGAATATAATGTTTATAGGAGCGCGTCTTTAGATTGTTAAATAAGAGACAAAATTTTTAGTGTTACAAGTGTTTCCTCAGAGATAACATTATTTTTACCCGTGTTGCTTACATACATAAGTAGAAAAGGTGTTGTGGTAGGGAGGATAGATGGGCAAGAGATGAGGAGGAATCATAAAAAAAAAGAAACGCAGGCCTTCGGAAGATGTTTCATCAACGACTAAACACCAAGACACAGCAATTAGTGACGCTCACATTGTTGGGGACCAACTCTACCCTTGTCTCCTAAACTCGTATAAAGTATCCCTGCAGCAGCTCCATCAACCCCACTGCTATGATCGTGCCGCGCGTCAGAGGGGGGGGGGGGGAATTAGAGGGATGGTGGCCAACCCAATATATTCACATTAGATGTACTTAGCATATATCTTCCGCATAACCATTATGGCTCACTTTTTTAGCTGTTCTGCCCCGTCTAACGGGCGAGTGGAGGTCACTTCAACCGAACTTGTCATGAGTAGAACTACTGAACATGTACTGTACTTCAGTGAGCACATATCACGGAGAGACTTTTTTTTATTATATTTGTTCCCGAGTGGGCTAGTTTATTGGGCATCTTGTCATCCTGTGCAGGGTGAAACGCAAAAGCGTTTACAGCGCCCATCTGGGAACCATGCTTGCCTTCATGACTCGTGCATTAAGCGCGTAAAAGCCTGAAGGGTCATGGGTTTTCAGCAATTTACATAAAGGGACAGAATGATGTCATAGTGTGGGGGAAGGGGATTCCCGGTACAATTTATCTGTTTATGGCAAAGCGTGGTAGGTCTCTAATAATGTCAAGTGCCAGGCCTGTCTTTAGGAGGAGGGATATCTGGTCAGGGAGGGGAGAGGTGTTGGTAACAGGGTCATCAGTGGTTTGTAGGTAAGAAAGTCGGGAGTTGCCCCGGGAGTTTGGGTAGGGCCCCTGGGAGCAGAGACTAGGGTGTCGGGCATTAAGGTTCCCCACAAGGAGGGGACGTTATGGCGTCTTGTACCCGCTGGTAGCTGTCCTTTGACCCCTGTAACAGATGATCTCTCCCGTTGGGCGAAATGAAAGTCGATGTATACTGTACAGTACAACAAGCAACTTTATTCTTGTGGTAATGGCGTATACGCCTGTGTCAAGTACAAAGAAAACACAAATAATCCCCAAATGTGTCCACACTTTGTTTTGTGTAGATAAATAAATGGAGTGACTTAGCAGAGATAGAATAAGACAGATATGATATTCATGAATAAAGGAACACGCGATCGACATTCACCTAGAGGGATGAGACGTGAATCTGACATTTCACGGTCAGTGAAACCATGTCTACTCACGTATGATAGCTTCTGCCCGACTTCAATCTACTATGTACACTAATGCCCAGACTGGCGACGATCCTTCTTCAGTGTCAAGGTGCCAATGGTGGATAAGAGAAATGACCAATCGCCTGGCCGACTTGTAAAACCGGCAAGATGTGAAAAGGATAAGTAAAATATTCTTTCGTCTGTTTGTACCCTCAATTGTTTTGGGTCTTGATTAATGAGTTCTTATTAACGATAATATTAATCATTCTAACTTGAAACTTTTAAACTCCACCATTTTGTAACTCGTTCTCACGCAGCATTATTCTTGTTCAGTCATCACCTTGCTCTCTTAAAAGGCGAATATTTAAAAAGTGTCATTTATGGAAAATTGTGTCCATAAATGTCGGTATATTCACCGCTTTCCTAGTACGTACTGTACCCGAAAGTTATACATCGAACCGAAACGTCAACACTGCAGACAATTTAACTTCTGAAAGAATGCATGCCTTCTGAAATGATATTGGAATCCTATTGGAACTCTGTAACCTAGGGAGAACATGGTACCATAAAGTTATTTCTCACTTTAGAAAGACTCATTCTTAGATCGTTTGTCTTCGCAGAAGAGTTCACACTACTATGGTGTTGCTGTCATCGTCGGTGTTGCCAAGTTTTTTTTTAAATGCCTCACAAGAACATATTTTTCCAAGCTCGGAATCAATTTGCGTGACGTGGATGGAGCAACGAAACAAAGTGTTACACACACACACACAGTAGACTCAAAGCAAAATCGATGTATTTTCCTGTAATATATAACCAGATATCAGTTTTTCAATCTCTGGGGTTTCGTCATAAGTCTCTCCAGGCCTACACGTCAACTTGTACTCTCAGCTGGCTCACTCTGCCTCCTCCAATTTGCATGTAAGAAAGGCAGTAGAGGTGACGAGCGGGACGCTGTCACCGCTCACAACATTACCATTTGTCCCAGCCTACAGGAGCCTAGCGGTCTAGTGGATACAGCGCTCACCTCCTTTTCCAGGAGTCGGTGGTTCGGTTACCGGGTACCTAAGTTTACAATTTGGTGAAGTAAATGCTCCGGTCGAGTGCAGTACCGGCCATGCCGCCTCTTTGTGTACCAAAAGCTTGGTATACAGTGTGCTGTATCCTCGCTATCCTTAACAGGCAGTCATGCCAATGGGACCCGCTATTACCTTCGCCCTCCTTGCATCACCTTGTTCACAACCACTGTTTACAACCATAGTCTTACAACCTAGATAGGAGATATTAATATATGTAGTCTTCCAGCAATAAGTTATATCAATGTGATCAGTGCCGGATTAACCATGAGGCACTGGCCTCAGGCCCCCCGATTTTTTTTTTATTTTTTTTATTGGGCACTCCCCTACATCCTTGTGTAAGGTGAAGCACAGAAGCGTTTACAGCGCCCAACAGGGAAGCATGCTAAGTTCATGCTTGCCTTTATGTCTCATGAGTTAAGGGCCCGACTCTACAGTAAGGGGCCCCCAAATCCAAACATTCTCGAAGTTGAAGCGTATAAAACATGAACTTCGTTCAACGATGTCCTAGCAACGTCTCAATTTTCTGTCTCTTATGAACATTAAATGTGTTATTTTGTAGAAGCTTAATATTGATGAAATCATTGATAAATTTGGGTATATTTTGTTCTCGTTATTTATATATACCTTGAGGGTAGGGGACCCCAAGTTGATCTGGGCCTCAGGCCCCTATTAAGCTTAATCCGGCCCTGAATGTGATATATGCACACCTGACACGTTATACGCTCTTTGTTGTGTTATGCATTGAAGGGAGCTTCTGGGTTGCATTGAAGCTTTTAGAGTATAGGTTACTTCTTGCGAAACCCTGAATTCCCCTTAGCTTAGTTTTGAAACTGCTAAACCCACTCTTAATCTCCGAGAACAAAATCTTATCCAGTTTAGTACAAAGCTTCTTATCCAATCTAACTTTAAAACCGAGTCTAGACAAGCCTGATGAGCCTTGGTATGTAGTAAATCACATTGTTATACCTTCACGTTACAGGAATTATGTATTAAGTTTAGCTCATGACCATATAGGAGGTCACCAGAAAGAGAAAAGGACATCCAATAACGTTGAGATTTTTTGGGTCGGAAATCTCCTCTGACATTGCCAAATTTTGTAAATCGTGTTATATTTGTCAACTCTCTGGAAAACCAAATAAAGTAATTCCTGCTCCGTTACAGCCTATATCTGTGGTAGATGAGCCGTTTGTTAGTCATTATTGACTGTTTGGATCCTTTGCCCAAGACAAAAAGTGGTAATCCGTTTCTGTTGACTGCTGTGTAGCCTTATTCAATCTTACCAAGGTTCAAATTTTACATCTGGTATTTTCAAACAAGTAATGGGTGATATCAGGCAGTACAGTACTGTATTTGGCTTCAGCTTACCGCCCTGAAAGTCCAGACGCTCTTGAGGGGTTCTACCAAACCCTCAAGAGCATGCGGACTAAATATTGTCTTGAGATTGGCAATAATTGGGATGAAGGTATAACCTTGGTACTGTATGCACTTAGGAGCACCAAGCAATAGAGTGTAGGGTATTCTCCAAATGAACTGTTATTCGGTCGGGATGCAAGAGGGCCTTTAAAATCATTGCAGGAAAGTCGGATAGATGAAGATGATCTTGTGACTGACTATTATTACGAGGCTAAAATGTAAATTAAAACAAAGAGTTTGCAAAGAAAAAAATTTAATTGAAAAAAAAATAATTGCACAAGGGAAAATGAAAGGACATTATCATAACGATCCTGTATGTAGACACTTCAAAATAGGTGAAAAGATGTAATTTTCCAAGGGGCACATTTCTGAAAAATTCTGAGAAGATTTTCCCTATTCCCAGAAAAATTCTGAGAAAATTATGGGGATGGGAGTTTTTTCTGGGTATGAGATGAAAATCAGGTTCATTTTCCGGGTTTGATAGATGATGTAATGGGCAATTTCTGGAACATTGGAGAATATTTTTCTGTTACTCGGGAAAATTCTGGAGTTGTGGGATTTTTTCGGCTTTGAGAGAGTCGTGTCGTTACCCGGAAATCTCTCATTCTCGTAAGTGCTCTGCACCAATTGTTCCAGCTAATAGAGATATCACTTGGTGTCCTAGGAAAGTGAGAAGAGTCATTTTGAAGCAGATGTTAAACTGAAAAACGCCATGTATATCAGGAGTAAAGGGTAAATATTGAATGTGTGTTGCATGATTTTGATGATATACAACCTATTTTCTGATGTACCTCACCCTAGTCCTGTGGTTGAGCGCGACATTGTTTTGGTGAATAATGCTAGTCCTGTGAAGCAAGCTCCGTATCATGTGTCCCGTAAGAAACTGCAGATTTTTAGAGATGTTGAATTATTGTATATGGTCCGTTAATTCCCATTTTCATTGGTGGGTTAATTCCACAGTATATTAATTGTTTAATGTGTATGTTGAATTATCAGCATTGTTCTTTTGGAAGAACCGTTTTATATTTTATTTCATTTAGTTTATCAATTGTAAAATAGAGGTACATTTATAATAGTGTGGAAAATAACTGCCTGTACTGGGCTCGGTGACCTTTGAGGTGTGGATTTGAAAGTTTTCTCTATTAATTTACTGCTCCATTGTTCAAATAAGGTTTTATTGTATTTAGTCATATTTAAATTAAGCTTGTAATTTCTTAAATATTTATATTAAGGTTAACTTGCCGAGGGCTGGGCTAGTAAATACCAGGAAAAAGTGTTTAATTATGTGCCTTTAGAGCCCTTTATCTTATTATTGATAAGTAGGGAGGGGTGGAGGAGGAGGGAGGTGGAGACAGGTAGGTAGGTTAAGTTGGAGGGAGGCAGAAGTCAAGTGGACTTGACCTTCCCTCCACCTCAACCTACCTACCTCCACCTCCCTACTTCTCTTCACCTCCACCCCTCCTTCCCTCCACCTCCACCCCTCCTTCCCTCCCTACTTCTCTCCACCTCCACCCCTCCTTCCCTCCACCCTCCTCTCCACCCCTCCTTCCCTCCACCCATCCTTCCCTCCACTCCTTCCTTCCACCTACATCCTCGCTTCCTTCCTCCCCTTCACCTACATCCCTCTCTCACCTACCTGTACATCCCACCCTCCTCCTACATCTGCTTCCCTCCCATCCCTTCTGCCCCTCCTTCCACCTACATCCATTTCCTCCCTTCCCTTCCCTTCCCTTCCCTTCTCCCCCGGCCTCTCCTTCCACCTACATCCATTCCCTCCCCTCCCTTCCCTTCTCACCCTGCCTCTCCTTCCATTCTCTCCCTGCCTCGCCTTCCACCTTCATCCATTCCCTCCCCTCCCCTCCCTTCCCTTCTCACCCTGCCTCTCCTTCCACCTACATCCATTCCCTCCCTTCCATTCTCCCCCTCTTCCTGCCTCCCTCCCTCGCCACCTCCCGAATTCCTGGACGAATATAAGGGGAGAAAAGTGAGTTGTTTTGAAGGTCTAGGGTCGTTAATCATCGCTCATCCGCCACCCCCAGCGGCTTTCTGAATAACTAATAAGTAAACCACCCACTTGTTACCACAACACCCCGGACTTATTAATGATTAATATTTATCTTATTGTAAATTTTTGGTTTAATTGTTGTAATTTAGTGATAATGCTATTGTATGAGTTGTAAAGTTTTACTGTGTAACTAGTAATATTATTGCATTGAGTAGTTAGTAATATTGTTTTGTGTACAATAATATTAGTGTGTTGTCCAATTACACCTTTATTATTGTAAAGGAATTGTCGTTTGGTGTAATTTCGTTTAATTTTTAATGTACCGGTATTTTAAAGTAAACAGTATTTTTTTCTCTTGTAGTGGAATAACATAAAATAGAATTAGTACTGCTGAATCTAGGCTGAGGTGTGTGATTAGTATAAAATGGGCCATGAATCATGGCCCATTTTATACTTTTTTCCGACTGGCCGAGCTGTTAGGAGGATTTCTGTGAGAACCGCATAGTTTGAAGGACAAGTGCATTAAGTAGAGTTTATTGAAGTCACGGGAGACTATAGTATAAAGTATTGAAAAATAAAAGTACGTGTGTTTTTGCCTTCTTACTATATTCCCAATACAGTACTGTACAGTTTGTGAAACTTTACGAGTGCCCTTCATAACCTTCCATCATTATTTACAGTACTGCTAAAGTTATGCGTGTTTAAATTTAAGTAATATTATTCTTAGAGCTTTACACAGAAAGTCATTGTCTTCTCAATCTTACTGAATTAGCAGAATAACAATTATATTTCTGACAAATTTACGTTTATATTAGCAACTCTTTAATGCCTTTTTATTTATCTCCAGGTAGTGTCCACGTGGGAGGCAGCTCAAGGCGTGTCTCAGTACAGTATAACCGAAGCAAATGTATGAAGATCAAAGTTATACCCAAGAACATACTTTTCACCCAATGTCGTGTTAATAATGAAATCAAGGACCTGTAATTCCATAACTAAAAACTGGCATTACAACCAAATTTTTCAACTGTGTTTTTGTTACAGTCTATGGGAGCACTCGCAATGCCTTCAAGTTAAAATCTATGATTGTGGACAAAGAAATTTTTTACTTTGTTTAAACTATGAAGCACCACGGATGAAAGACAAGGGAGGTACAAGATTACACAAAATACAATTCAATGGAACAATAGAAGAAACTAGAACATTTGCAAGATTGTGGACATTGTATGTTGAGATGAAGAGATGGAATGAGGAAAATGGTACTCGTACAGAATGCAGATTAGAAGAACAGTATGAATATAATGTAGAGATTGTTTGTCAGACACATTTCATGAAGTTTGATAGAGAGGAGCACCATTTTGACTTTTACTGTGTGGAAAAGTCACTGTATCTTATTGGTGCACATGGAGGTGAAGTAACCAATCACTTAGAAGACCATAAGCTTATGAAACTTGCTCAAGTTAAAACCTCTGGACCATTATACATTCCATCCAACTGTAGACACATCCTGATTTTTCCCATTACTAAGGCTGGCTCCCTATTAGTTGTGCACGCCTTTCCCACCTTCATCCTTTCAGTATTTTACATCACATCAACAGCTCTCATTAGTTCATTGCCCTACTTTAGTTCTTTACCTGTGTTCTACATGTCCACTTTATATTGTAGCCATCAACATCCTGTGGTGAGTGTATCAGTACCCTGGTTGTGTACTGGTCATGTAAGTGTCTCATGCAACACAGACCTTATTGTTGTGGCCTTAATAGCAAATTTATACTTCTCTTTCATAGCCTTGATGTTTTGTACTATTGGTTTAGAGAAAGTAACTGTTAATGAGTTTGGTGAAGTGAACAAAAGGATCCCTTGTCCCTGGAAACATTGTATTATGTTTGCACTTACACATGATGAACTTGAAATTAATCATCGTTTGTCCCTAAACCAAGTTGAGCCTTCTTGCCTTACTCGAGAGATGATTAATAAATCTCTCTCTCTCATATTTAGTCATAATATGACTTGCCCAATCATATCCAGGATCCATACTTTGTTACCACTTACCAGTCTTTCCACTGATATTCCTGACATGTCATCTTCTCTCACTCTTACCACCAATATTCTCAATGTTCCAGCCTCACTTACATTCACCATCTCCACTTCTGCTGTGCCATCCATGTTTCATTCTGTTGGAAACACTTCTAATACACACATCATGTTCATTCCTTATCCATGCTTCACTCATACCATTCAGACACTTGCCTTCCCTCACCCTCTTTTACCCAGCATCCCCTTCATTCTTAAACCCAGCACCCCATCCACTCATAACCCTGGTTATAATAAATGCAGCACAAGTAGGTTTACTGGTAAGATGAACTACAAGCCACGCAACTTACACAGGATTTCAACAAGTTTCTGCATTACGGAGAATGCCAGTTGTTACGTACCACACACATTGTGCCTTCCTTTATGGTGGTGGGTATTGTTTCTGATGCTTTGGACAAGTTTTGGTGCAAGAATGTGTTTCGCAGACAAAGATAAATCTTCATACAGAAATTTGGTTTCACTGAACCAACTCCCCCATCTAGAGTCGAGAAGACAACCACGGGAACCTTCAGTACACTCTATGAGTGGAAGAGGTATTTGTACACTTGTACCACTTGTATATCAGTAGATCCCAAGATGTGATAATTTGCTGCTTTTTTTTTTTTTTTTTTTTACTTTGCATTGAGTTCCTTTACTGTCAGCTTCTTCCACTTTATCCTGCAGTTTTAAAGGTATCATTTAAACAATTTGCTCCAATTTAAAACTTGATTTGTTAGTAAGCCTTAAGCTATATTGTTGTTGGGTGCTTCAGTATTTCCCCATAGAAATAGCCCCAAACAGCCTGTCAGGTTATTTTGCCGTGATCAGTACAGTACTTTAGCCACTGCCTTTATTGTTTGTAGTACAATGCTGTATGTGTATAATACAGTACATACTGTACATGATTGGTCGTATATACGCTTTAGTTTGTTTTTAAAAGTTTGGAAATACAATAGTACAGGTATTGTGTATACAGTACAGTACAGTATTTAAATTAGATTATACTTCTAAACACATGACATATTTATATCTTCTAATTCGGTTTCACTCTGCAGTCTGTACAAGTCTGCGGGTTATGAACTCTGTGGATAATCTGAGAAAGTTGACTAACTGCAGCGTGATTGAAGGCAGCTTGCAGATCGTCCTTATTGAAGAAGTGAGTAGAGTACCTTAATGCAGTACTGTACTTCTTTTTCTGCTGTAGTGAATTTACATTATAAGTTTTATGGCTGGATGGAGATTCCAGAAGTACTGTAAATTTTAGTAGGGAAGTTGTCCTGTTAGGAATTACTTTTTTACTTTTATTCTCTTCACCACTGATCGGCTTGTTAGCCGCTTGGGCGATCGGTCACGTCTCTGTTACGCACTGTTGGCAAGTACTGGCCATGCTCCGGCTCCTGAATGTACCTGAACCTGCTCAATTGTTGGTTAAGTCTGGTCTTGAAAGAGCTTACACTCGGTGCCGTCACATTACTTTCTGGCAGATTGTTCCTAGAGTTCACAACTCACTCCGAAAAAGTTTGCCCTCACAGTTTTCTGGACCTGCAGCTTCTTCAATCTTGAGCTGTGACCCCTTGTGGGGCGAGCATCTGCTAGCTCCAAGTAAGGACACTCGACTGAGTAGTGCCCCTTGAGATGCTTATACACCTCAACTAGGTCACCCCTTGCCCGTCTGTAGTATAAGCTAGGCAAGTTCAGGCGCTTCAATCTCTCAGGGTAGCTGAGGTGCCGAAGTGCAGGCACCAGTCTAGTGGCCATCCTTTGAACATTTTCAACCAACTGACAGTCCCTAGTATATCTTGGGGACCAGACGGGGTGACAGTACTCCAGATGAGGAAGCACTTCACTCTTGAAGATCTTTACGAGGTGCGGAGTGTCTAGATATCTGAACGACCTTCTTATAAGACATAATAATTTATTTGCCCGATTTACCTTCTTCTCGCAATGGCCCGAGAACTTCAGCTCATTGTCAACATACACAACTTGGTCCTTCTCAAATTTAGTCTCAAATAGTGCAGTTACTTCATCCTGTTGGGACGTATGATACGCCTCCTTACCGTTGGTACGCCCCAGGTGCATCCTCTTACACTACGTGACATTGAATCTCGGCAGCCATTTCTTCGACCATTCTTGGAGCTCAGAGATCCTTCTGCATCTCTTCACAGTCCGCTTGATTTTTTATTTCCTGAAATAATTTGGCATCGTCCGCAAACATTTGTATGGAGGAATGTACAACGTCAGACATGTCATTTATGAAACAAACAAACACAAACAACAGCGAGCCCAATACACTGCCCTGTGCTACTTTGCTTGTGACTGGTACACGTGATTATTTCGTGCCATTAACCACCACACACTGCTTGTAGTTGTGTAGAAAGTCTTCTATCCATGCTAGGACTTTTCCCGAATTCCGTACCCTTCCAGTTTAATTTTCAGCCTTTCATGGGGTACACTGTCGAAAGCCTTGGCAAAATCTAGGTATATATACTGTATTGTCGATATTACCACCGAGTTCCAGAATATGGGTCCAAATGTATTCAAGTGTATTCAAGAACTCTTGCTTGCTTGCGGTGCGTAACAGAACAGACCAACTGCCCGACTAACTAGTAAGCAAACAAGTGACAATCCTTTAATTTCATCTTGACTCATCCACCATAACAAACTGGCCATCTCATTCTTATTAGCAGTCACCTTCAGTCTTTGTAACTATTGTTCTGTTCTCTCTCAGGCTCCACAGAATAAGGAGGAGGAGTGGAAAAAGTGGAGTTTCCCAGAGTTGGTTCAGATTACGGACTTTCTGCTGGTGTTTAGTGTCAGTGGACTGCGCTCCTTGGGCCAGCTCTTCCCCAATCTAGCTGTCATACGTGGAATGGTTCTTCACCAGAACTATGGTCTCGTTGTCTATGATGCAAGAGATCTTGAAGTAAGTTTGGTGAGGGGAAGGGAAATAAAGTCATGCACAGAATGTTGTTAAAAGGGGCAAAGAATAGACGGAAAAAATGGGCATATGAGCTGCCTAACTCATTATTGAAGAGGTAAATAATATTTTCTTTCCAAAGTGAATTATAAACACACATATCCCATCAACATCTACAAATAAGTACAGTACACACACATTTTTCATAGTACAAGAAAGTGTCTCATGTTGAAGCAGTATTTCCTCTTTAATCACACATTCTCTACTAGATTCTGCTTTTAACTACCTTTAATCTTTTGTACAGTACAGTACTGTTCTTTCTTTCCCAGAGTGTGGATTTGCACAGCCTGACAGCCATTTTGCAAGGGGGTGTGAGAATCCAGAATAACTTCAACCTGTGTTATGTACACACAATTAACTGGTCCATTATCATCAAGGATGAGAGTGAAATAATCATTAAGGTGAGAGGATGCTGAGGGTCAAGTATAGGTGAGGTGATTTTATTTGAGCGAGACTTTTAAGTGACACGTGGAGGTGAAAATGGTTTTAAAGTTAATTTGGAAGGAAACTTGAAATTAGGGAGTCGCCAAGTAGAGAAAAATGAGTTTTAATTTCAATCAAGAGAGTGGGTATCAGTGAAAAGTGGAGGTAACAAGAAGTATACGCATAGGTTGCAGAAAAGTAAAGAAATTGGAAAAGTCACATTAGGGGAGAAGAGAGAGATCAAAGGTGATACAGTGATACAGTGAAGGTGTTGGATGAGGTGAAGTTAGAGTTAAAAAGACAAACCAGAGGATTGAGGAGAAGCAGACAAGAGAGAAACAATTGGGAAGGACAGCAGAGATTAAGAGATAGAGTGGAAGAATAAGGAATAAGAGCGAGATTTAATCTTTTAAGTACAAACCACAGTATTTGATAATCTCACTATAGTTTGTTTTATGAGTTGTAAGATTTGGAAGTTTGTCAATGCATTGCCAGATGGTGTTTGCACAAGTATCGGACAAGTGTGATAGTGATAATTTTTTTTATCAGATGGGTGGGTGTTTCTCTGGGCTCTTCACAATATGCTTTTAATAATGAACAGGCTTTCTAGATGCAACCAGATGCTTAGAATGTGTCTACTAACTTCAAAGTGTGATGTTAATCATTTGGTGTGGGGATAGTTGATGCAAGGGTTGGGGGTTTATGTATAAAGACAAAATTGAGTATTAAAAGCTTTGTGGTCATAATGTCAAGCAAAACGAACTCCAGCATGTAAAATGCATTGATTAGGAAATTTAAATGAAGAAAAAATAATAGCCATTAAAGACTGTTCTCTATTGATAAACATATCAAATGTCTCATTCAGTAAAATCTGGTGTTATGTTGAAAAATATTCAACTTTTAAGTTCATTCTATTTATAGATTTGCAACTCATTTGTTTGGATCTCAGGGAACCTGGATTTCAACCCACTGGACTTACTGACTATATACAGACAGAAAAAAAGATGCCGGATCAATGTCATATTTATGCCACTGAATGAGTAGCTTCAGCATAAGAGAGGGATTATTACTGTCTCGCCACTTGCAATGGTGAAAGGTAAAGAGGGTATTTACCACTGTTTGTTTACTTTCTGATGTTTTGCTAACATCATTAAAATCTGAACTTCATCCACAGCTCTTTAGGCAACCCCTTTCAAGTGGGGCCCTTGAAACATGACTGCCGGGATCATTGTTATGTTAATCGACTAACTCTTATATTCTTTAGCTATCCACTTAGAAGGGACTGTAATCATTAGTTCTCTACTAGCCAGACATTCTTCAGATGTATTTGAAGTAGATAAGTAGCAAGACGAAGATTTGTCTTCTATCCAAAGCTGTAAATTAAGCTTTGGTATCTCTTGTAAACTGTCTAAGAAAATGGTAGAACACTACATTTTGCAGCTCTGATAGAAATTGTGGCATTTTAGCTTGAAGTAGTAAAGTTGTCTTTGCATAGTACATGTACTTAATTATTCACCAAGACATTCATTTTCTCCCTGGTCTCCAACCTGTTACAATGATTTTTCAGGATTTTTAATGTTTCAATGAGATCTACCCTATTCTACCTTGTCTGAGGGGTTGTTAGTCCTAAGGCCCTCAGTTTAATTGGACAATTAAGATTATATAATTCTGGAATCATCTTAGTTGCTCTGTGTTGCATCTTTCCTGGGATGTTTGATCTTTTTGGAGATAGGGTTTCCATGCCTGTATACAGTAATCCAGACTGGAATGCACTTGAGATTTGTACAGTTGAAAGTGCATTTTCCTATCATTGTTTTCTAAGGTATGCCTTATAATTCCCAAATCTCCATTTGCTTTCCTCACTGCTGTGCACTGCCTTCAGTGACTGATCTACCACAATACTGTACCAAGATCTCCTTATTGACAGTATCTGGAAAAGTGTTAACAGAATACTGTAGCTGTGATTAGGGTTGTTATATCAGATGTGTTAGGTCTTGCATTTCATAGTGTTAAAGAGCATTTTCCTGTCTCAAGACCATATGATCAGCTAATTCAGGTCTTTATGCATAGTTGTGACATCATCTTGAACTTTTGACTTGCTACCTTCCCAAATATCTTCGTGTCGTCCGGAAACTTGACAATGTGGCTCGATATATTTTCGTCTTTGTTATTTACGTAGGTCATAAACAAGGTGGGTCCAAGGACAAAGTCTAGTGGTGCTCGCTGAGAAGCCTTTTCCATTCTAAATATACTCCATTTATTATCACTCTTTGTTGCCTTCTTTGAGCCAGCTGTTAATCCATGTCAAAATAAAGGGGTTAGCGAGTGAAATTGTTTCAAGATAGTTTTCATTAACAAATAGCAGGAATTGAAAAGAAACAAAGCAAAAATGGGTAAAGTATTGGAATACAGTGAACCCTCACTATACGCGGTTAATTAAACCCACGGTGGCCCGCGTAAAGTGAGAAACGCGTAAAGTGAACAACATAACATATGGGATTAATTGAAATAGAGACCGGGCCGACCCCCAAACTCCACTTTTTCAGACACAATACCTACGTTGTAGTAAAAATAACTTCTTAATTTTATGATGGTATGCACACACAATTAATAATTAAGAGAAATATCAATAATATTAGGTTTTTTAACACTTAATTAGTAGAAAAGATGGCTGGGCACACGGGGATGGGGGTTGGTTCCGAGGCAGAGGGCAGATTATTGGCCCTCACCTGTATCACTTGTATCAATTGTATCACTATCCACCACAGAGGCTTGCAGGGCCTCTTTGTCAAACCCCTCAAAGTCCATATAAGTCCATATCCTCACTATCATTATCACTATCACTGACTTGGGCAGGCTGTGGTGGGTGGCAGGTGAAGAACTCGGTAATGTTTTGATGACTGGGCAACCTTGTGCGCACCCTGCTCGCGCCGCTCTCCGCGTAAAAGGGTACACACACCGCGGAAAGTGAGCATTCCGGTTTCGGCAGGGTACCGCGTAAACGTGAAAACGCGTAAAGTGGGACCGCGTAAAGCGAGGGTTGACTGTATGTAGAATTTATTAAAGATTCTGATTACCTTAACTTCTCTTTGCATTGCTAGTACAACTGTACAGTATATGGACATATCCAACAGTACACCAGTTAAAAAGTCCAATTTTTTGTTTTTCCAATTTCCTAACTGTCGAACTAGATTTTGCCATCTTTGTCAAATGGAATTCTTCGTCAGTGTTGCATATATTTGCTGGTGAGGCACAAAAGGTATTGGAGATGGGAAAGAAAAAATCCATACCATATACTGTATGTGAGGGAAGTGCTCTTGGTTTTGTAATAAGGGTTTTTGTGAGCTTGTGCATCTAGCCATGGTACTGTATTCGTATTTCTCTAAAGCCTTTTGAATAATATGAAAATTTGATTGAAGTAACCATTTACCTTTTAGAACAATAATGAAGGGTTGTGCAAGCCATGTCCCACTCATTGTCCTCAACAAGGGAAGCTGGAGCACTGCTGGTCCTCCACACACTGCCAGCAAGGTGAGTACTGTACAGGATTTTACCTTTTCAGTATAGACTCCCCAATTTACAACACATAATCCACATTCTCACCTGACCCAATTATACAGGCATTCCCCATTTTACAAAAGAGTTCTGTTCCTGAAAAATCTTTAATAATTGGACAATATTTTCCCATAGTTTCCCATTATAAGAAGCCGAGATACATTCCTACAAAAAACACCATTTCCTTAAAACAGGTTTTTGATGAAAATTTTTTGTGTACACAATGATTAAGCCATTTATAAGCATAGTTTGGTAAAACACAATCAATACACTACAGTAATAATTTTATACTGGTATAGTACTTAGGAGAAACCAGGTGAGATTTGAAGAAAGTGGACAGTATGAAATGCTGAACCAAATCTATAACAATTTAATATATTACCCAAGTAATGGATTTATTTTCAATGCTGTATATAATTGGAGGTACATTCTATAAGAAAAAAAAATTCCTACACTTGACCAGAGTAGTACTGTAGTTATTTCAGTAAATCACCCTGAATTCCTGCTGCTTTAGTTTGTATTGCACGAATGTTGCCTTCAGTCAGCTGACACACTCCTGCATTGTCAGCAATACCCACACCTCCAAACTTTGTTCACTTCCAAATCTTACAAATTGTACAGTACATAATTAGCATATAAAATTTGAGAATACAAAATTAAAAATTTATTTAATTTGCCACTTATTGCACAACAGTAAATTAAGAGAAATTAGACAGTCGGGCAACTGGCTGAGTGACTGTGCTGATGGAGACGAGTCTACATATCCCCAGTGATTTTGAGAAGAAAGTACAGTTACTGTAATATGGTGAAGTAAGAGAATGATGACATATGGGAGCTTATTTGTAGACTTGATAACATTGTGTGTGTTAGAGAACAATGAAGAAAATTTCGAAAATAAATAAGCCTATTGGTAGAAGAAAAAATTGCATTATTTTTGCATGTTCTCGTTAATACTAACGAAACAATTTTTATTTTTTATTTTTATTTTTTTCTGCAAATTGAATCATGGGACAACATCTCTTATTTCATAACTTTGGATTTTCGTAAACCAAACCTTCCTAAATCAGGGACTACCTGTATTATACAAAATTCCCACAAGCGTCTTACTCTTTTTACACCCATCAAAACACTCGTAGCCTTCATCTCTTGGCTCTTAAATACCAGTGCTTATCTCACATGAGCATTGCTCTCACATAGTTATAAATTACATCAGTTTATTACTTCCTTTAGTCAGGTTTATGTTATTTACATTATTTATTACATAATTTGAATCATAAATATTGTTTTTCAAAGTTGTTCATTGTCAATTCTCTTGCCGCCCTTCCCATTTTTCCGACACTCCTCTTCGTGTCCAGTGTGTGATTCCAAATGCAGTAGTGGATGTACAGCCCGTGGGGAGTGTTGTGATAAGCAGTGTGTTGGAGGCTGTGGAATGCCCAACAATCCTTCAAGTTGCTATGCCTGTCGTCACGTTAACTCTGGCGGTACATGCTTTAAAGCGTGCCATAAAGACTACTATGAGGTCAGTGTTAACAGAGTACTGTACAGTATACTTAAAGCTCATGTGGACTTGTTTTTATTTTTCTTCACTATATGTTACTAACTACTTGTTCTAATTATGATGTACAGTATTAGTTAATATGCTGTACTGTACAGTGTTTTTGTTTGTGAATTTCTGCCATGTTTATATGATCAGTCATCAACTTTAAATACTTTATCGCTGATCTACTGCTTTCCTCCAGTACCGCAGGTATCAGTGTGTAACCAAGAAAGCTTGTAATGAAATGAAGCTTACACTCTTTGAGTCTGAGGATAAGAGCAAGAAGAAATGTGTTAAAGAATGTCCTGCTGGATACTCCCGTACAGCTGATCAAGAGCTTGAAAAGAATATCTCAATTTGCCAGAAATGCAATGGTTAGTGGCTTCGGTATCTTATCAGTACAGCAGTTATTACTCGGATCACTTGCCAGAATAATGTAGAAAGATTGTAAAATATACTGTGCATAAGAAAGGTGAAAATAGGCTTATTATTTTTTATTTTATTTTTTTTATTTTGTTCATTTTCACCTTTTCATACATTTAATCTTTCTGCATCATTCTAGAATTTTTTTTTACCCAAGTGATATTCATTATTATTCATGGTTTTCTAAGAATGTTGTGGTTAATAGCTGTACAACACTGCACAAATTCCAAAACACCTCTCTGTATTTTTCATGACTTTACTCGACTAAAACTTCCTCATAAAGCTTGAATATTAATATTTGCTCAAATTATCCTACTCTATTTTACATAACTGTACTTTATCCTCTTTGCAACCTGTCGGCTCATTAGCCGCTTGGGCGGTCGGTTACGTCTCTGTTACTCACTGTGGGCAAGTACTGTACAGTGCTAGTCATTTACTGGCTCCAGAATGTGTATCTACTTGCACCAGTGTTGGTCAAGTTTGGTCTTCAATGCGCTCACATTCGGTGCCATCATAACTCTGGCAAGTTGTTCCAAGAGTTCACACTGTGCTCCAAAAACATTTGTTCATACAGTTTAATCAACTTGTTGGTTTTTCAACCTTGAGTTGTGACCCCTGGTGGGACAGGCATCTGCCAGTTTCAGGTATGAGCACTCAACTGAGTAATGTCTTCAGCGGTGTTAATAGACTTTTAATAAGCTACACCTTGCCCTCTAGGCAACTGCAGGCATTCTAACCTCTCTGGGTAACTGAGGTGCATTAGTGAGGGCACCTGTCTGGTGGTTGTCCTTTGGTCATTTTCAATCAACTGACAGTCTCTAGCATATCTTGGGGACCAGATGGGGTGACCGAACTCCAAACGGGAATGCACCTCTCTTTTTGAAGAGCATTATGAAGGTCAGACAGTTAAAGTGTGTGAATGGTTTTTTTTTAAGATCTATTACTGTAGTTTAGTTGCTTCATTTACCTTTATCTCACAATGGTCCTAGAATTTTAGTTTGTTAATAAGCACAACCAGGTCCTTTTTACTTTTAGTCTCGGGTTAATAATGCATCCTCATTGCATCTACTGCTAATTTAATCGTAATGAAATATCGGAGAAACCCCATTCCAGACATAAGACGATCTAGAATCTACTGTAGATGTTCAGGTATCCAGTAATTTGATCTAAAATATGTTTAATTATCAGACACATGCAAATCCAAGAGATCATAAGACCAGTCAGGAAATTCTTCAGAAATCATATTCTAATTAAATAAACAGCATGAGCAAACAAAGTGTAAGCTTAGTGGTGAGGGTGTTGGCATGTCTTGGCTTTTTTCAAAGCTTTTGGCTTTATTTTGAGATTTAAAAGTGGAATAACCTTGGTGGCAGTCCTGTACTGCACTATATGACCATGTGAATACAGTATACCCTGTATTGCATTTTCCTTTCATTCTTACAATAGGAAATAATTGTATGTATTCTTCCTGTGACCAGTTATTGCTCAGTTGACATGTGTGTTGTTGATGATATATGTACTTAGTGCTTTACCTTACCTCCCACAGATCCATGTCCCAAGAATTGCAAAGGTCAGCTGGTTAACACAATTGCCAAGGCCCAGCTCCTCTCTGGCTGCACCAAAATCGAAGGCCCACTTGTTATCAGGTATACTGTACACAACATGGATACTTCCATTGGGGCAAAGTTTGCTAAACTAAAAGTATTTAGTTTTTTCATGGTCATCTCTGTTATTGATCAGTTGATATTTTCTTTTAGTTGTTGGACTACAGTACTGTACTTATAAGTATTATGGAAATATTTGTCTTCTGTTTTCCTGTACAGTGTAAAGTTTTGAATAATTTCTTTCAGAAATGAATGGAAAACTACTGTATATTTAATATGTCTATTTTTATTTATTTTGTCATCCCTCAAGAAGTGGATAATTTTTTTATCCAACAATGAGTTATAATGTATTGAACTTCATATCTGGACAGATTTTTAATATTCATATTCCTATTTCCAATATACCTGTACTGTACAAACCTCTTCTAATAATATATGAGCTTATGGAGATACTGTAACCCACTTTATAATGATAATAATAATGTTAAGGATAATAAAAATGCAAATACAGGAACACCTTTGACTCCAGGAGGTTTTCCCAAGAAGAATAAATTTCGAAAGTGTAACAGTTGGCATGAAAGAGCTTTTGACAGTTTGATTTTACAAATAAGCCTCTCAGAACCTAACTTGCTGTATACAAATGGATTTGCCAAGAAATATAATGGAAACAAACATCAATGAAGCAGAAAAAGGAAAAAAATATTTGTGAATACCAGTTCAGTACAGTACTATACGTACACTGCAATATATGGTAATTACCAGTAAATATTCACACTTTCCGATAATGCATTTAACAAAACATCAATGTTCCATATAAGTGTACAAGAATTTGGAAGACTGCTTGAGTGAAGTAACTGGGAAGAGATATTGAGGGAGAACACTCTTTATAGGAATGTCTCGATTGATACTGGTACTGTACTGTATCAGAATGTTTTACAAAAGATACTTCGCAATATAATGGGGAAAAAAATTAGGATAGAGATTAATGGACTTTTATTTTTTATGAATATTTCAGCTTTTATGTCTCAAAAAAGGTATTATTTATATTTTAATGGTACCTCTACGGTATACAGTATTTGAATATTTTATGATAAAGTACGTAGATGTAACTGAATATACATAAAGTTTCTGATTTCAAATGGATTTGACAGTGACACATTTTAGAGATTACAATTTTCAGATAATTGTGCAATTCATAAAGTTTATGATTTGACAAGAATTCGTGTATGATGATTATTATATCGGCCATCATGTTCATCAGCTTCACAGGAGGAAAGGCCATTGCAAAGAAGTTGAATGACAGCCTGGGACTGATAGAGGAAGTGACTGACTATATCCGGGTCTTTGACTCTCATGCTCTCTTTACTCTCGACTTCTTGGCCAGCCTGAAGGTTATTGGGGGCACCAAACTTTATAATGGGAAGTGAGTAATATTTCATGTATGTTTATTATTTACTGATGATTTTCCTTTGAAGGCTTTCTGTGTATCAAAATACTGGATAAAATTAATGTAGGTTCATATGTGCATGACTAAAATTGGAATCACTTAATGAAAAGAGTTGACTGTAGTATCTTAAGAATATAAATGTCAATATATCTGGTGGCGAGTCCATAGTAGCCATTTCCAAATCACATGTGCACACTTCTCGATGCTTACACACACACACCTGTGTAGTGAATCAGGGGTACAACCTCAGCGTCACCAGGGAGTTTGTTGATATGCACCTACTGTGAGGAGCTGTCTTGCGAGGATTGTGTGGATGTGGGCAAGGCAGCGTTTAGGATGCTGCAGAATGCATTCAAGTCTGGAGGCTGCTGTCTGGTATTTATCTGACTATACTGTGCAACCAAAGTCAATGAATCTAGTTAAGATCATAAGGGAAAGAGAAACCTGGAGACAAAAATAGAAGCTGGATCCTTGTTGGTTGCCAAACTAGAGTTATTGGGAAAGAGATGTGAATGCTGCTGTCACAGAGGTCTCGAGTCTTTTCTTGTTTAATAATTTTATATTTCTTAAATAATATTGTACATTCAGACATCCCCAGAGGTGGTAGAACTGAATTTTCACAGTGCTAAAATGAATTGTATGGTATACCATTTGTCCAAAAAAATGGAAAGTATGTAAAAACTGGACCAAGGGCAATCTCTGAGAAACTGAAAATTTCAGAGCACTGTGATTTAGCTGTGAACTGGCTTCAAATGTTTAAAAAGTGATACCTTAAAACTTTTGGAGAAAAATATCAGCACACACAGGTGCATTAACCTGCCAGAGAGTGTGATGACACCAAGTGGGAGCTCATACAAGACCTGACTTGACCAACTCTGTCCCAGGTACAGATATATCCCGGAGCCAGTACATTCCCAGTTCTTGCCAATAGTGCATAACAGAGAAGTGAATTAGTGCACAAGTGGCTGGCTAACAAACCAATCAGTGGTAAAGAGGATAAAGTAAGGCAAAGGAGAAATTGGACAACCAGGCGAGTGATTGTCTGTGATGGGGGTGGAGTCTACAGCACTTGTTTTCATTTTGGGAGGAAGTTACATTACAGTGATGGTAATTGTATACGCTAGAATAATCCATTATTGTAGTTCCTTCTCTCCTCACAAAGCCAAACTGTAGAATGCTTTGCATTCTTTATTTCCATCCTCTTACAATCTGTCTCGCTTCAAAAAGCTGGTTTTCCAGCATCTTTGTGGTGTAGATTTTAACATTCCTTTCTCTAATTTCCCCCAATCCCCTGACTCCGTCTTGGGTCGATGACCTGTGCCCTGGTGGCCGATTTCCCATTAAAATAAGTTAATTCATGGAAAGCAGTCAGTTTACTGTGCTGCATTGTATGTTTCAATGATTTTGTGCAAAATTAACCTTCAGTATATATTAAGCCCCATATCATTCTACTTTGCTTAATTCAATGAAACTACTGTACAGTATTTACGAAACTACAGTATCGATATGATTTTCAGCCTGTTGAAGTGTGGGAATTGGAAATGATGCACTGGTTCTTGCATAAAAACCTTAGCCCTAGTATAAACAAAATTTGATTGGAAAAATTAATCCCTTACATGTGATTCCAGTTGAAGCTGATACAAGAGGGCATCCTGTGTACAGTACAGTATTTGTAATTAAAGGATGGCTTCTAGGAGCCACACCTGTATACTTCACCAAAAAAACATTAGTCCCAAGGTTCTTGGCATGTAATTCTCTCCAAAAGAATTATTGAAGTTTTTGTCTTATTACAGGTATGCACTTTATGTACACGACAATGACAATTTGACGGAGATTTGGTCTTGGAGAAACCACCCAGATTTGAATATTAAAAAGGTAAGCTGGATTGAAAGTAAACTTGATGTAAGTTTAAGAAGACATTTACCTTATAAATTTTTAAGTCATGAGTAAATTACCTTTTACAGTACAGTAGATGTTTTGAACAACAATTATAGAATTTAAAGTTTACTTTACCTGGCCTGTCCCTTTACCAGTTACTTTTGAGTACTGTGTCTCTCTCTCTCTCTCTCTTCTTTTTAATCTCTTCTTACTTTGTTATTTATAAAATACCCTGTGTGCACATTGAATAGGCTGATGGAGGGAATGTGTAAAAGCAATAAAACTATTGGACCTTAAGCAGAGATTTAAGTTGCTTGCTCATTGTGATCTGATGAATGTGAAGAGTAAAAACAAGGTTTGGCAATTATAGGAGTGACTGTTTGCAATTGATTTGGTCCTAGTTGCAGAAATAGAGGAGCTGCTGTGGAGAAGTGTTAGTGTCAGAAAAGTCTTGAACGTGAGTCTTGGAAAGTAAATGCTGGAAAAATTAATGTTATGATGATATATATCAAAACAGGAGATGAGATAAGGACTTTGGATGGGAAGAATGTACTGTACAGTAATTGAATTATGTGTTGAAGCAGAGGGGGGAAATGAGGAATTGGGTAAGGGCAGAGTGGGTAATGTGGTGGGTGGGTGGGTGGAAGAGTTTTTGTTTGACAGATGGGTGCCAAGATAGTGATTAGTCTAGTGTTGATGTATGAAATTGAGACATGGGCAGTGAGGACTGAGAAGCTGTCATTGTTGGGGGAACTGATATGACGATGCTTCAGGTTGAGAAATTAAGATATTAGAGCAATCGGGAATAGAATGTACACTAGCTATAAGCAATATGATGAGAGAGGCCAAATGGTGTGTAGAAAAAGTGGAGGACTGGAATGAGCCTGAGAGGATATTAAGTGGAAGACAGAAATTGGGGAGGAGGAACATGGTTAAAGGAGGTATATAGACACACTGGGCTGAGATTAGAAAAAAAAGGTTCGGATCATGGCAGAAAAGTGGCTTGGAGAAAAACCCCTAACCTCTAGAAATGGCTAAAGTAAGATGATACCCTGTATGTACCCTCTCTCAACACATTCTAACGTATTAGTATCAATCCATTCATTCCAAGACTTCATTTTACCCCCAAATTTCCACTTCCCCCTCACCTATACTTGCATCACCTATACTACTAACACTATTGCCCAGTTTCTTAATATGGTTTTCAATTCAGTAATCAAACACCTCCTTCCTTCTCCCTTTTCTAATTTCCTGGCACAAAAATACTCGGTGACCTATCTCTCGTATCAAATTTTAGAACGATTCATGGTACAGTACTACCCTATTATGAATATCCCATCTTGCATCATAGTGTATCATTTTACAAATTAATAGCACCACAACACATTTTAATCTTTCCATTTTAGATACCCCTGACTCCTCCCTTGTACCATAATATATTAGGTCTACTTATAATTTCTCTTTGGTCAGAATGCCTCAGTATTGTTCCATTCCAATCCGAAGTTGTGTTACAAGAAGATTAAGGAGCTATTCGAGAGAACACATCTAAACATGACAGACGACTACAACATGCAACTCACCAATGGAAATAAAGTAGCATGTAAGTTTGGGAATTTAAAAGTTGTAAATTGTAAGTTTGAATCCAAAGAAAATGCTCTGTTTTGGTAGTTATTCTTAAGCTAAATATTAATGACTTTTATGTTATATCTTCACCTTATCCAAGATTGTCGTTACTTTGCTAGATGACAACTCTGTATTTAGTATATGTATTGTTATTCTCAAATTAACACAACCATAGTAATGTTTTTATCAAGAGTCACCTCAGATGCAGCTTGAATGAACCATTGTTTTGATCTAGTTAGATAAAATGTGCACTTTCAGAATACAGTACTGTATTTGTGAAATCCCTTTGGATCCCAGCTGAGGCTTGGAAGCCCCTTAGGCTTAGTTATTGGGCTACAGATTCAATGGGCCATTAATTTTTCCCATTTTGAGGAGAGGAACTAACAACTGCATCTAGTTATTATATTCCAAATCATAAAATGAATTTTGCCAATTATCAGCTTGTGTGTGAGTGGTTTTCTTATGTATGATTTTATCTTCTTTATTTCATTGCAAAATCATTTTTTGTTAAGCTTCATGGAGACTACTGTACTATATAATTTCATTATTAACCTCAATACAGGTACATATTTGAATTTTCAGGTACCATCATGAACCAAACTATTAAATTACAAGCTTTGTCAGATAAAGGTATGTTAAATGTTAGTTGGGATGCAATATCTACTAATGAAGATGACCGGATGCTCACTGGCTATTATATATACTACAAGCCATCAAGTAAGAGGGACTTGGACTACATGACAGGTCGTGATGCTTGTGATGAGTGAGTACCCTGCCTGAATCCTGTTAGTAATGTCTCCGTTAGCCAGAATCCCTCTTAACTGGAACTCTCCGATAGCCGGAATTGAAATTTTCTCTGAAAATCATTCCCAAAGCCATAATTTTCCCTTTTTTTCTGGCTTTGGGAACAATTTTCCGAAGGGCACTTTTTCTGGAAAATTTAGAGAAAATTTTCCCAGTACCCGGAAAATTCGGGGGATGAGGGATTTTTTCTGGCTGAGAGAGGCGACATAATGCACAATTTCTGGAACTTCATAGAAAATTTTCCCTCTACTCGGAAAATTCCAGGAATGAGGGATTTTTCCGGCTTTGAGACAGTCGTCTCATTACCCGGAAATCTCTCATTTCCGGAAGTTCTCTGCACCAATTGTTCTGGCTAACGGAGATATCACTGTATTGTATTAAGAATAACCTGCCCTCAAAATGTATAATGTTGTGGACTTCAGTACAGTATAATTAGAATTTATCATTGGTCCAGGATTTCACATGTGACAGAACTTTTCTTATTTTTTTTTATCCCCCAAATCAAAATGTGGTTACTCTTGCAAAAGGCACATTTTCATGATGCACCCCCCCACATACCCCTACACATACTCCTAAACAAACACACACACACACACACACTCCCTCGCTCACACAGTTATACACCCCACACACATACTTGTGTGCTGGTAATTGACAAGGACCACTGTAATAGTAGCATTCTTATGTACATTGTTAAAAAAAAAAAATGTTATATACTGTATATAGTATTTGTGTGCTTTTGATAAACAAGGAAGTATGTATTTCAACCCATGGTATAGGGTGAATGTAATTATGTTTTAACGGTTATCTTACAGCGACTGGTCGAGAATGTATGTGGAGATCACAAAGTCTGACGTGAAGATAAGTGCCCGTTTGGTAGACCTACAGCCAGACACACAGTATGCCATATATGTACAAACTGACACTGTTGTTGGTGCAGTCTATGGTGCAAAGTCAAATATCAGTTACATCAGAACTTGTCCTTACAGTAGGTGTTTAATTACTGTTGATAGTTTTAAAGCGGTGAATAAGTATATGTTTTAAGAATCTGTTTGAACTCTTGATGATTTGGTGTTAGAATATGGAATAATTTTAGATGTACCCATTATGTCAAATAAATTATGGAACTTGGTATGCGTTTACTTCTTCAACCTACCACTTTTCACTTCAGACCCAAGCAGTCCTCGTAACCTGAAGGTGACATCTGTAGGGGCCACTTGGATGACAGTGACTTGGTCTCCACCTGCATTCCCAAATGGCAAAATTTCATGTTATATCGTCAAGAGAATCCTCAGTCCATCAAGTATGGATGTATCATCAGATTTTTGCTCCTCAATACGAAGTGAGTTAGTATTACTGTTAAATGTTTTGTATTTTCATGTATTGGTTTTCTTGCAAACCCTTTTTCATGGTATTTCCTCTTACAGTATGCTTACTACTGTACTCACTCAGTCATAATATTGTTAGATTTGTTTTCTATTGATATTCCCCATCAACAAAAAAAATATGCTTGTGTTTATTTACATTCTTATAATTGCTATTTAACAATGGATATTTTTTTCTTCCCTCCCCTGGAATTCTATTACAGTACTGTATATGTACTACAGTATTTGACAAGTGTTAACTTGTAATAGTAGGCTATACCCATATTGTATTTTATTGCATGTGATGAATTCCCATTACTATCTTTCAGGCCAAGACCAAATGAACCAAATGCAGGATTCAGGAAAGGTAAATGGTTATCTTGTAGCCTATTAATGATTATCCCGTTACTGTACAGTAACAATTAATTTTCTTGTGGTTATTTGTCTCAATTAAATATTGTACTACCCATTTTCCTTAATATCAAACTCATCTTCAAGGCATCAAAATGAAAATTTATATTAACCAGTTTTGATGAAATGCAGTCAAATATAAATGGATTCGGTATATGTCACCAGGAACTAGCAAGCACCACTGAGGCACCTTCTCCCAATGAACAATCCTTAGTGCCAGGACCCAACTTGGGTAAATGTTGCCCGTGCTCTCGTGACTCGATGCACAGAGAACAACAAGAGAATATAGACTTCGAAGATCGACTGTTTAGTTTTGTCTATGAGTAAGTACATTAGAATTTACAGTTTTTCTTTCATTCTTTTTCTTTATTTTTTTGTTTCCTTATTTCCTTTTTTCTCTGTCTACTTCCATTTTCCTCTTATTCTTTCTCATTATTTCATCATTGTTGTTGTTAGATACTCATACACGGTACAGTACTGTATTTTCTAGTTTTTCCCACAATGCACACAAGAATTATTCTTTCCCTTTGTTGGGAAGGGTACTTACAAAAATTTCCATGGTACTGACTAATGTTTTTTATAATATTTCAGGCGTCTTTCTAGCAGACAGAAACGCAGTATTCCAGAGTCAGATCTTGAGGTGTGTTGAAAGTTCACTGTTCTAAAGTCCTGCTCCAAGCCTAGTTAATGTAGTGTGTGTGATTGAGAATGATTAAAGAGGATGACTGACTAATGGAGTGTGTGACTAACTGGTGGAGTGTGTGACCAACTGATAGTGTGTAGCTGCCTCATTGGTGGAGTGAGTGAGTATCTGACACACTGACAGTGGTGGAGTGACTTGACTGACGCACTGACAGTGGTTGACTGATTCTGATAGTGAATGACTCCCCGACTGATAGTGGGTAAGTGACTGGCAGACAGAGACTGAGTGTTTGTGCAAGTGTTTAAGTGAGAGTCACGAAAAAATTAAAAATTACAAAAAAATCCAGCAGAGATAAGATACAGTAAAAAAAAAAGAATAGAGAAGTGGTTAATAAAACATCTTCAAATTAAAATAGTTCCATTGTTTATGATGATTTTGTTTATTTTTGTTCTTAGGAGACACCTTCATCCAATTGGCAAGATCATAATCCAGTCACATGCAGGTCTATCTCTGATAGCCATAATTCATCTGAGAGTGGTAAGTGTTTATTGATCATTAATGATGCCATTAGTGTACTTAATGTCTGTGGTATTATAAAAAAAAATGTTACAGGCAGACCCTGATTGATGAGAGGTTTCATTTCTGAAAATCTTTTATAAATAGGAGATAGACTTCACTTTTGCTTTATCCTTTTTGCCATTGATCAGTCTGTTAGCTGCTTGGGTGATCGGTTACGACTGTTATGCACTGGGTATGCACCAGGGTTGGAGTATTTGTAATGTAATTGAAAAGTAATTAAATACGATACAATATTTTGCATAATTGTAACTGTATTTGACAAGTTTTCCAATAAAGTAGTTGTAATATGAGATCATGTAATTGAATATGAAATTGTCCTTAGTTTATTAATTGTATACTAGATCATCAATCATGGGGTGAAAATTTGTGTACACCATTTTATGATGTCACCCCCAATGTCTGCCAATTCAGATAAACTGTCACTGTGCTTGGGTATTTACTTCCTTGGTGAGCTCCATTCGAAAGGCACCAGTAGCTGCACCATGTCTTTGATCTAAAGGGGTTTATCTCTTGATACTAAATGAGATGGAAATCACAATTGAAAATGGTGAATTTGTTGCTAAAGAATCCTGTGGAGGTGATTATTGCAACTGATCTTCTGTCCCAGAGGAAGCTTGTCTGTGTTCTTGAAACATTTCATGATGCCTTGGAAGTTGTGGAAGTAGAGAATATCACTATCTTGGCCATTGTCCCAGTGGTTATGGGACTTCTAGTAAGTATTCATTGGAGCAACTGCTTAATTATGGCTCTGTCAATAGCAAGTTGCAGTATACTGTGAATTATTGGCTATGTTTCTGCTGGAATCTGTAAAGCAAAGGTTGAACCCATACTTAGAGTTGCAAGCTATTCGAATAGCAACTTTTCTGGATCCTTAATTTAAATTGGACTGGTTGCCAACACAGGAGATGAAGAAACAGGCACTTAAGGATGTCAAGGAGACGATATACCAATTGAAGATTGTTGAGAACTGGCCAGCAGGGAAGGATACCCTTGAAAAGGGGTCTTTGTCACCAAAAAGATCAGCCAAGTCAGAGACCTGGGCTATTCTCCTGCATATCCTCAACATAGTGTCAATAAGCAGGAGAGTGGAGAGCATCACTGTGGGTCTGATGCTGCAGCAATATGTTGAAGAAGGGACTGTGCCATTCTCAAGTGATTCACTGCTCTTCTGTAAGGAAGCACCTCAACTCTGTTCTCACTGAGACTCTTGCAAGGGAGGTGATGGGATGTACTGCCACATTTACTCCCTCTGAGGGAATCGTCAGCATTGCTGGAAATTTCACTCCAAACAGGGCCCAACTTGATGTTACTTTCTTCCAATCAATGGTAATGGCCAAGTGTAACAGGGTTGTTTTTGAAAAGTTGCTTTCCTTGCAAGTGGTAAAGCAAAATAAAAGATATATTTTGAATACAATTATGGACTCTGCAAGAATAAAACTATAGTAAATACTCAATTTGGAATATACTGTACCATTTTAGATAAAAAAGTACAATGCAGTAATTGTAATCCTAATTTTAAATCAGGACGACCAATTTTAATTACAGTATAATGTAATTTAAATTTCTGGGGTAAATTGAAAATTGGGAGACTAAACTATATTTTATCCGCATTTTTTCACCACATTTAAGCTTACTAGCCATTTGGGCAGTTGGTCTATCCAGTGTTAGTACAGAAGGAAACTGGTGACTGGGAAACCTATGATGTTTGGTAGAGTCTCACTAGATAACACCCTTCGCACGTGTGGCCAGGCTCGAATCTTTGACATATTGGTGAGATATATGCACATTACCACTGTGCTCTAACCCTGATATGTATTGGCTCCAGAACATATCTGTACTTGCATCAATGTTGGTCGAGCCTGGTCTTAATTAAGCTCGCACTCTCTAGGAGGTTATTCCCTTCAAAACACATGTCCCAACAGGAAGAAGAAACTGCATTAATAGAGACCGAATGTAAAAAGGACATGTGTGTGTATGTTGACAATGAACTGAAGTTCTCGGGCCATAGTAAGAAGGGGAATCGAGCTCCTAAACTAGTAGGTCTTATAAGAAGGTAGTTTAGATATCTAAATAGTTTGTCCCTCGTAACGATCTTAAAGTGTGAGGTGCTTCCCTCTTCCCTGTCTGGTCCCTGAGATATGCTAAAGATTCAGTTGATTGAAAATATCCAAAGGAGGGCCACCAGACTGGTGCCTGCACTACAGCACCTCAGTAATCCAGAGATTAGAATGCCTGCAACTGCCTAGCTTAAACAGTAAAGACTCAAATAATGATTGTAATGCGTGTTCCAGTATTGCGGTGCAAGGTGAAACGTTGTATCGTGAATCATTAATTACCATTAAAATAAAGCAATATTAATGAGATGCATTCCCTTGTATGACCTTTTCATATCTTTTGTGAGGCTTTTTACCCTCTTTCCCCCCGAAACAATAAAATTAATGAAAAATAAAAACTACATTCTTTATGAATGCACATTGTACAATATAAATCAATAATATGATGAAGTTGCAAAGAGGTGATGAGATCCCATTGTTGCTGTCAGTGTTTACACCCATGATGACAGTTCTCCATCTAAAATTGAAGAAAATATGACTGGTTGTTGTTGTAGTATAATATATGTAAAAAAAATGTGTACTGTATGTTTTAATTAATATTATTTAATGTACAGTAGAAGCAACCACTGATGTTAAAGTAAAAAAAAGTATGTACTGTATACATAGGTATTTACACACTCGTGGAAACATAGTGTTATTTATCTAAAGAATAATGTATGCAGTCAACCAAAGTTGCACCGACCCCACCCTGGGTCTCGTGCTCGCAATTTTACCTGGTAATACTTGGTAAAGTAAGGCTGTATATCATGGTGATTGTGATTGGTGAATCTATATTTGGCTGTGTCACTGTCAGGATAAATATTAAACAAACCAAAGGTAGCATTTTTATAATAAGCTTTTCAGTGTTATTTAAAGTCATCAGAATTTTCCAAATATTTGTATATTTGCTTAAGTAATGAAGAAAATTACATTAATAAATTGGCAACTTGACTACAACCACAGCTGCCACAAGATTCTTGCATCAAATTTTCTTCAGAGGGAGGGGGATGGAAGGATGAGGTAAAGGAACCACTACAGTCACATTGGACGGACATCAGCCATCAAAGTGTGTAAATGAATGAGAACACCAACCCCTATGGTTTTTGGAGAAGGACATGGTGCTGATGAGTGATGCTGGATAGTGTGAAACAGTTCTTAAAGCAAATGGATGTTTGGGTTAGAATGGGTAAAAAATTTAAATAATTATTACTAATAACTTGAATTCTATTTTTTAATCAGATGTGGCAGTATTCTCGGTTCAGGAAAAAACTATCACCATCCCCAACCTTCACCACTTTTCCCGCTACCGGATTGAGGTCAGTAGAGTGAAATAAGAATAATTTTTTCTTTTAACTGTTCCTGTACCTCTTAAGTCCTTACTGTAGTTGTTGTCTGTTGGAATACACTTCAATGGTTGGATAATATAATTATTTAAAGGAAAAGGGCTTGAAATTTGCAGTATTTAAGGAACTCTTGTTAACATGAGACCGGCTGAGTGTGTCTCCAAAATCTAACTACCTGTACTGTATTCTAATATCCTACAGGCTACTTAAATTTGTAGAATTTCAGGATTTAGTACCCTTGCCCAAAATAGTTATTACTGTGTTGTCTTAATTATTTTGTATAAAAAAAATCACCTTTAGAAATACTGTAGTGCCAATTGCTATGTAAATCTTTGAGATAAGATTTTTTAATTCAACTCTTATCCACAACATCTTGCTTCTCCAGGGAACTTCCATTTGACAGGGTGGCCAATACAGAAGAGCCTTCTGGCTGCCATGTTACTTTGTACCTCTTTTCCCCTTATCCCTTCCCCTCATCTTTCCCATAATAGTTGTTCCACCTTTTGCTCCCACAATGTAGGTAGACTCCCTCTACCCAATGCAACATCTTCTGTCCTGCATCCTTCTCGTGTCAGTTCCATTTCAGCAAGCCATTCCACCAATCTGCCAATGTCCTTCGGGAAACTTTGTGTAATTTTAGAATGTGTATTTATATTATATTTGGACATCCTGTACCAATGTCATGTTTTTTATCACCATGAGAGATTATAACAGTTATTTTTAGAGCTACCTACCATGTTACATTCAGGAGAGGAGACATCATCCTTTCCCAAAACCAACTTTTTATGTTTGCATGGCTACTGCAGTAAAATTTTGGATTTACATATCGTAGTGCTGTATTACCTCATTTTCTATGCATATAATATATGGTAGTACGTATATAGGCCCCTCACAACCTTAATCCGGCCCTGGTTACCGGACATTGTCAAAGGTGACTGTCGCATGATGCCTCCAGGGGGAATCCTGGCTGGAGTTCAGGTGATGTGTGGTCAGGAGGTGATGTAAGGTTTTACCTATTACCTTACCCCATCCCCAGGCCCCACTCTGATTAATCCATCCCTTGGGATGGTTTATCAAACCCGACACTCGGATACGGAAAGTGACAGCTACCGTCTGAAGCTGGTGGGCCATGCAGGTCAACACTGACAATGAGTTATCATCACTTGCATCGGTCAAAATTTTTTAACCAATGCTGGTGCTGTATTGTACAAGGCAAAATATATTATATTACTGTACAGTATATTGACAACATTGCTTCCTTCTTTGCAACATGCATGGTTTATATGAAATGCTTTTTCAAATAAATCTATACTGCCTTGTTTTATTGTGTACTATTTTTGGGGGACAAGTGATTATTTCTTTGTTGATTGCGGACCCACTCAAGCAACGTATTACTTCACCGGGCCACCTGCCCTCAATTTGTTAAGTTCTGGACATGTATTGATCTATTTTTAAGTTCTTAATGTGTGTAACAATCGGCTTTACATTTTATGTGTGTGATGTAAATATTAATCACAGGAACGGTTTGTTGTATTTCTTACAGCAGAAATAAAAATTATTTGTTTTTTCTGACTAATTAGAGGCAGTATAGGGGCCCCTTAAGGCATTTTGCAGTGAATCCCCAAATCACTAAGGTTGTCCTTGCTCTAATCAAAGGTGATAGGGACAGTTCAACCTGGCTGGTGGTAACGGGGATTCGACTAATGGTAATGGGAAAATGACTTGACAGTGAATCATCGACAGGGAAACAACATTAATATCCTTACCCAAAATCTTCTAGCACATCAGTCACAAGGCAATACCACTGCTCTCCTTGTTTCATAGGTAGTTTATTGTAAGAAGTGTCATTAGAGTTAAGAACCTGATAGAGAAATTGCAAGAGATCATGCAGCAAAGAGAGCTTCTATCGGGTAATCGTGACTAACCCACGCAAGATTGGAAAATGGCTATAAAACAGTGATGATGACTGTTTTGACTTATTTCACTCAATAATGACATCACTTCATGTATGCCATCAGCCTACAAGAACTTATGGGGTGACTCATACTTTTTTTTAAATCAACTTGCAGAACTTTGCCTAATAAATTCATTCATACCCTAGACTGGGAATGTGCAGCACTCTCATCAGTTCTTCCTGAATCATAAAACCTCCATTAGTTCAAAAGACTTGCCTTAAACATCTCCAGTCTTTTGGTTGGGAACACACTAGTCTATAGATTTGTTAGATTTGCCAACAACCCTTTTTTTTTTTTATCTCTTTCTATTAAAAATTCCAATGCCAACACATATAGATTACTGTTCATAGTTATTATGCAGAGGAACTACAGTGCACATGCTCTTGACCATTCCTTTGGTACCCTTTCCTTTTTTATGTATAGCAAATGTATTTTTGTCACCCTTTTTATGCTTTTATCCTTGCCTTTTCTTAACATTTCTGCGGTGATTCCTTATACTCTTGGAATCATTCCATTCTTCATTACTGACCACCTTTTTCATATTTTCATTCCTCCACAACCGAAACATGATAGCTCCACTTCCCCCATTTGTTACATAAATCAATTTTTAAAAATATTTTTACCCTCTCCTATTTGCTTCCTCCTTTTTTTCTGCAAATCTCCTCTTTCTGTCTATAACGTCCTTTCTTATTTGTTTTACTGATTTTCTTTTCATCTTTAGTCCTCTCTGGATTAGCTTCTTATAGTCTATCATCTGGTGACAATCTTTCTTCCCATCTTTCTTATGCTTTTTATCATTTCTTTAAAATTCTTATCTATTCTATTTTCTTCTTTCATCACTCATTACTTGCAAGTGGCATTTGGATATCATCTTATTCATAATTAGTACAGTACCACCAGCATGTCATCATTTTTGTTTTTCCTTTCTTTTCCCATGTACTGCACAGTAATGAACACAAGAGATGGTATTGAAATTTTTTTGGAATGATTTCCAATATCCTATAAACACTTAATTCATACCGATAGGGGTAAAATTTATTTCTCCTCCATTCAAACTTAATCCACTCCTTTTCCTGGAGAGAAAGATAAAGGTCGACAGACATATAAATAGAGAGTCGGATAAAACCTTTTTACCATAGCTTTTATAACCCCATTCACCGCATTGGCTAGCATGGTTTTGTTGTTCCTGTGTGGATCCTTAATATCATGCATTGGTCATAGGTTACTGCATGTCACGAGGCCACTCCAAAATGCCCATTGACTTCAGGGGAGGAGTTATGTGAACTTTGCTCTATCATCCCTGCTAAGACTGTGGGAACCACACGCACATTACGTAAGTGCTTAGACTGTGTGTTAATTTCAGGCAAGTGCTTATATATTTTATTACCAAGATAAAAAAGCTTTTTAGTATTCATGTAGATGGTTTGTTTGATCTTAATATAGTTCTAATTTTGTTCTCAGTGTGTTAATAAACTTTTTTTTTTTACGCTAAACTTTCAGATGGTGCTAATGTAGTGCGTGAGTTACGAGTAAGCAACATTGGTAGCTCGGATATGGTAGAATTGACTTGGACACCTCCTGCAGATCCCAATGGACAGATCATTGCTTACATAATCATTGTTGAACCAGACAGTGCACACATGCAAGGGTCAGTCTATAAGGTTAGTTCTATTAGCATATAAATTTGTGAAAGAAGTACTGTACCGTAAATAGAATGTACTGGTACTCAGCTGTGGCACAGTAGGGTCGGGATATATCGCGAGGTAGGGTAGGATGTTCGCTATATACTAAATTGCTATATATATAATTACATGTAATCAATGGGGAAAATAGGGTTAGGTTCTGGAGGCCAATAAAAGTGACTAAACTTGACAAAATGGCGCAGTCTAAAGTTGGTAGAATATGCACGTAAATTGTATTGTAGGAATCCTTGCAAGACAGCAAATCATTTGAATACAGACATCATATATTTTGCACAAGAGATAAAATTTTAGTCTTTTAGAGTACATTTAAGTACTGTACAGTTTTTCAACAAGTATTTTTGGGGCAATTTAGGGGATTTTTAAGTGTTTCTGACTTTATACGGTTTTTGGCTTTATGTGAGGTCCCAGGAACACAACCTCACATAAGTTGTGGGTCTACTGTAAATAAATTTATCGCCATACAGGTATATTGAAAATTTTTATAATTTTGGTAGTCGTGATAATTTTGAAATATTTCCTTAGCGAAATAAAACAAAATATCGCTGTACAGTAGTTAGGAAAATGTCGATAATTTGGTAGCCACGATATAAAAAATATCTTTATATAAAGTAGCTATATATCCCGACCCTATTGTATACAGTGTTAATGTACAGTTCCCCCAAAAAGTATCGTTAGATTTTCGGTTGCTTCAATTTGAAATACTAGACGAAATGCTTTGATGGGATTCCCAGTGCATCATTATAAGTTGGTATGAAAAGGACCTGGGTGTGTACGTCGACAATGAATTTAAGTTCTCGGGCCATTATGAGAAGAAAGTCAATTAGGCAACGAAACTAGTAGGTCTTATAAGAAGGTCGTTTATATATCTGATGGTCCATCGCTCATCACGATCTTCAAGAGTGAGGTGTTTCCCGTCTGATTGAAAATGTCCAAAGGAGGGCCACCAGACTGGTGCCTGCTCTATGGAACCTTGGTTACCCAAAGATATTGGAGCACCTGCAACTACCTAGCTTTTGAGTATTCCCTTAAAGCTCACAGTTTTAAAGCTTGCGTCCCTCGAAAACTCACGGATTGCCATGGAATATATATAAAATAAATCTGAGGCTGTGTGCCAGGGATCAAGAGGAGTCAATGCTCCAGGACAGTACAGAGCACCATATTTCCCAGGTCATAAGGTGCACCCTATACAGTGACCCCTCCGTTAACGAACTCAATCCGTTCCAGAAGGTCGTTCGTTAACCGAAAAGTTCATTAACCGAAACCATTGTTTCAATGGGTTTTTGGGTAATTGGTATCAGCTCACTGAAAATTTCCTAAATTCAACAAAAATGGTAGAAAAGTTCACTTACTTTGAGGTGTGTATGTAGAAGGCTCCTGGATGATGATGATGGGATTTAGGATGGGGGTGGAGGAGAAGGAAGAAGAGAAGGCATTGGGGTGGAAGAGAAGTCACCCCATGGCGCCATTTCACCCATAAAATTTTAGCTCTCTGGTGTAATTCAAGATTATTTTCTTTATATCAACACTGCACTGCATTATATATTGTCAATATGTAAAATATATTTCAAAATGACCAATAATTTGCTTGGAAACACAGAAAAAAAGCGTTTAGTTGAAGAGAGTCTCAAGCAAGATGTTACCTCCAGTGAAAACAGTGAGAGACTAACGCCTGTTTGCTGTGTTAAGAGGCTGGATGCCGCGCATTAAACTAGTCACTTTACCTTCAGTTATGTTCAATAATTGTTAAAATGACTAAAAAATTGAATATTAAACTTTTAAAATTATTGAATAGTATAAACTTCTTGATATTTACTAAAATAGTAAGGAATTTAAGCCCTAGAACCGATTAATGTATTGGCGGACTGATACTAAAGCTGGTTGCCCGGTCAGTGCAAGCGAAAACATGTTGAGGTCGGTTTGTAAGAACTTCGTTAACCGAATTTTTTTTCGTAAACCGAATTGAAGATCCTTTTGGAAGGCAGTTCGTTAATCGAAATTACGTTAACCGAGGTGTTCGTTAAACGAGGGGTCACTGTAATTAGCAAAGTATATTATGGAAAAATTTTTTTTGCATATTTAATAGCCTACTGTATTGGCAAAGCCAAATCACTGGCTATATGTTATCATGCTTCTCACTACCACAAATAACTATCACTGTGTGGACCTAATGTCCATACAGTGTTATTTCATGTTTACGTTTATTTATTTATTTCATATTTATTATATTGTTGTATGCATACAAAATGTTGTTATATATGTGCATATAGCTATTTAATTATGTATTTTGCACACACCTGAGACTGGCATGAAAAACTCACGGATTTTGCTTTCTTATGGGGCTTATTTTACCTAACCCAAAGGAGCTTTACGGGAATACTGTACTACAGACAGGCAAGGGGCAACCTAATCAAAGTGTATAAACATCTTGGGGAGCACTACTTGGTCGAATTTACATACCTGGAGCTGGTGGACACTCGACCCACAAGGAGTCACAGCTTAAGGTTGAAGAAGCCACAAACCCAGAAAACTGTGAGGCCAAACTTTTTTGGAGTGAAAGTTGTGAACTCTTGGAACAGTCTGACAGTGTGTGTTGTGATGGCACTGAGTGTGAGCTCATTCAAGGCCAGACTTGACCAACACTGGAGCAGGTTCCGATATACTGTACTAAGGAGCCGGTGCATGCCCAGTACTTGCCAACAGTGCGTATTAGAGACGTGACCGACCGCCCAAGCGGCTAACGAGCCAATCATTGGCGAAGAGGATAAAAGTAAAAAGTATGGCTGCTCGATATATCAACAACAGCTAGAGATGGTGGTAGATTTGGGGGAAAGGAGTCTTCCTTGTATGGCATACTAGATACAATATAACCTCAGATATCTGGCATTTAACCATCCAGAACTCTCAAGCAATGTCTGATCACATTTAAAAAAATAAAGAAAATCAGTTTGAATTTGGCGCTGCTTCACCCATGGTTCCATTTCTGGCAATTTGAGGTGCTGTGTGCATCCTCTATATTGACCCAATACGCTTGGCACTGCCATTGCAGTTTTGCTTACTTGAATGTTTGTGCTGGTGTAACCACTATCATCGCTTATGATGATGTACTTCTGATTGAGATGTGTATTTATAAGTAACTCAAGCATCTGGAAATTTTTTTTATCCAGCTCACTCAATTCCCCATGCATTCCAAATATGAGGTCTTATTTATGTCAATTTAACAAGAAATCCATTTAGCTATATTGATGCATGTATTGTTCGAAAAAGCATACTGTATACTCATTCATGGTCAAAGATTGTGGTTGTAGAACTACCAACCGTTCAGAAAAAGGTCGGGTAACATTACTCGGAAGCCTCGAATCACATCAACCCCTTGGCTAACGATACTTTTTGGGGGGACTGTACATACATCCTTTATTTTCCAGGCTTATATACATTTATTTTTCCTCAGAGGTGTGTGAACTCTCAAGAGTTTGAAGACAAGAACAACACATACAACCTGAATGTAACAATGATAGAGCCTGGGAGATACTTTCTTAGTGTTCAAGCACACAATGGACACTCTTTGTATGCCAATGAATCATCTGAGAGCATTCCTTTCACCATTAAGGTCAGTACTTTCAATTTGATTTACCTTAATTATTTTATAAGGGTTAATGATAAAAAAAACTTTATACCTGTGCAAGGACTTTTTAACCTCACTATTATTCCTAGCAGTATACTGTGTGCACGGGCTGCATATCCACGCATCTCTCTCATTCCTGTTATACATGAACTGATAATTCTTGTTCTCATGCTGATTTTAGGGATTTAGAAATTATGTAGATGTGAAATATGAAGAATTGGCAATCCAGCTTATACCTAGGATCCAGTGAAGGGCAAGAAGCAGTTGGTATTTTCAATATGGGGAAGTGAAATTTATCTGTACTGTATACATAAAACCATGAGATCTTTGGCTGCTCAATCCAACCAGTTACAAGCTTACACAATAGAATGTGGATGGTGCTCATTTTGCCTATCTAAAACAGACTGTAGCTCAGGAGAAAGGAAGGTCGGTGTTATATGCCTAGTGGACATCTGGAATGCACTTTAAAAGGAAGCACAACACCGTGAAAAAGCAGCTATACAAGACCAACTTTATGCTTTCCAGAACCACACAGTATGGGATTGATAACTTTCCTTCAATTGTCTGTTTTCAGACAAGACCAGTTCACATTAGCTCAGGGAATATCACTTAGGAAAGAAATTTCTTGAATGTGTCTTAATACTGTACCAAGAATGTTAATATTTCTCTTGCATAGGGATATATAAGCAAGACATCCATCAACTGGGTATCAATTTGCATATGAACTTTAAATTTCAAAGTTCATTAAGTCTTACTTGGTTTTGCCACAGGGTAAGGTGAATGCATCCTTTGACTTGACGTTGTGGCCTTTATTGACTGCCATGCTGGTGGTGTTGATGGTAGGGACCACATATTTTATTTTCAAGAAAAAATTAAGAGGGAACCCCATCTATAAGAAAGAAACAGTCAATCCATTATATCCTCGTGAAAAAGGTGAGTTGGAAACACAACTGAGGGTAGTCAAAGTCAGTATAACAGTAAGGGTAATCCAACAGGGTAGGAACAGACGAAATAAACTAATTAGTTTTGGTAGCCATGAGAAACTGATACAGGAGAGGTTAACAAGGTGAGAGGGAAAGATAAATTGCTTGGTTGTGGGCAAGAGAGGAAAGGGGAAGTTATCTTGTTGGCTTAATAAACTAAGACACTGAGGTCTAGCATGGTACACAAAATATTTGGGGATCGTGTGAATGAGAGTGGACAACTGGAGAGTACCAGCTTTGTGTGTGCATGCTCATTCACATCTTTTTCTTCTTGATGCAGTATGACTGAAAACAAGAATAAATACAATTTTTTTTTTAAATTCTTTCTCACCGTTTTAAAATATAATTGCAATGGTATGCTTTACAACAAGGCCCCAAATCTGTTTTAAACCTGTCTTATCACATAAGCCATCATATTTTATCAGCTACAGTTCATTCTCTAAAACACTACAGGCCATGCTGTAGTCTAGGTGCCTTCACCCCTTCCTTCCTTTCTTTGCTTCTTTGTATTTCCCTCTCCCCTTACCATATGTCTCTGAATTATTCAAATTTTTTTTACTTATTTTTTTTTCATATCAGTATGTCAATTCTATGTTAGCAGACTCTGAGCCACTCTCAGCTCAACCTACTTACACTTCCACATCTTATTTCCATATTTAATTTTCTCTACAGCCTTCCCTTGATGTTGCTTTTAAGCATGTAATTTTTGTCACTTTTATTTGCTTTTCCTCTTGCATTCAGTCAATGCTGTACACCAATATTGTCTCATTTTCCTTGTACATCCCATCTCTGCCTCCTGTGACATGGTTCTTCTCTCCATACATTTCTCAATCCACTTCACACTTTCTTTTCTTTGCTACTCTGTAGTCCCATTCAATGTTGTTTGGTCCATTAATTGACACACCAGTTGCAGTAAATTGAAACACAAATTTTTCATTTCTAACTTAAAATCATACCAGTATTTCTACTTACCCTGCTTTCTTTTCTATTCTTTTCATCTCATTTTTTGTATATTCTCTAAATCTTGTACACACTTTCAATTTTATTCACAAATACAGTATTTGTAATTTATTCTCTGAGTTGCCACTAGAGCAGCAGTGTCATTACAAAGTAGCAGTTGACTAGGTTGTGTTGTTCAGAAAACTTGCACAGTTCTCCATTACTCTTGTCTTTGCATCTTATACCGTTCATTAGAATATTTAAAACAAATATCACACATTCTTAGCATACCATAGTCCTACTTTCACTGGGAATCAGTTCCATGCTTCCAACAGACGTCAGACATGCTTCATTCCTATAAAGATCCAAACACCATGCAACAGTTTCTCATTCACCCCTTATATTTCATCTTATTCCACACCATTTATCTACTCCACCATGTACTTTTTACTCTAGTATACAGTATATATATTTAACACCAGCATTCTTTCACTTCTGAAACTTTTTACTCGTGTTTATTATTGCAAAAACTTGACGGTTCACTCAATTGAATTCCTGCTGCTTTTCTCCAAATGCACAACTACTGTATTTACATTACCTGACAGTTCCTGGAAAATTCAACAAACTTATTCCATAATAGTCTCCATATTTATTCCTGTCACTTTTCCTTCCTATCTTCAACATCTTTGTCACTATTCCCTTTATCATTCGTAGCTTCTATGCTCTTTTCCTCTATTTTATCACAATTTTACCTCCCATCCTTAATATTACAGTAGTCATGGCACCCACTCTTTGTTCCTTTCTGTTATAAAACTTATAACTAGTCATATCTTCCCCTCCCCTTGGAAGCTGTTTGATAGTGAGTGCAGTACTGTACTTTAATGTAAATGTTATGCCTGTACTCTCTTGTTCATTTTATATGAAATCTTATTATACAGGTAACAATTATTTTAGAGATAATCTACTAAGGGTACTGCAATGGACTAACTTTTTTTTATCTTCCTTGATAATACAAGAAAACCCAGACGTTGGTGCTATGATCTCCAGAGAGCACAAAATAGATTCTGATGACCTTTCACTTGAGGAGAGCTGCCAACTTGGTAAAGGAAACTTTGGTGTTGTAATGAAAGGGAAGCTTCGTCGTGAGTCAGGAGACATTCCTGTTGCTGTGAAGCAAGTCACTGAGTTCCAAGCCAGAAATAATCTACTGGAAGAAGCCAAGTTAATGCTGTAAGTAAATTTTCATCACTGAGCTAGAATTTTAATAATCCTTGGTGGACATCTCGCAAAAATTACAGGACGGATGGTTGCACCATTCTGAATGTATCCCACAACTATTTCAGTATTCCTCATGGGTTCAATTTGAATGTCCCTAACTTTGTTTTTAAGCATTTCGTTGTGGAGGCCTCTGGCAACTGCCCTGAGGTGTTGTAGGCATCTTGTTCATGTGTTTCAGTACTGTATTGGGTGGACAATGGCAGACTCATACATCTTGTGCTTACTGTACATGTATGTGCACCACACAGGAGGAAATTGATACTATTACACAGTAATATACCCAATAGTCAGAACAATTGGTGCAAAACTTTTCCATGTTTGAGAGATTTCTGGGTATTGAGACGAATCCTCGTGCCTGGAAAAAATTGCACATTTATGGATCGCCATTATTAGGAAGTTTAACTGCAGTCGGACAACTACAGGACAGTATTCATTTATGTAAACACTACTGTACAGTACAGTATATGTATAGTAAATAAGCAATGTATCACTGTATACACTTTACTGTACTCACCATCACATGTTGTCTCTTGAACTTGTGATGCAGACAGGCCAAATGATATGATGATGCAGCATGGCCTCCAATGTCTTGTACCATCTACTGTAGAAATTATTGCTGTCACTCTCCTCTCCCTCCATGAAGGAGGGATTGTACTTGTGCAGTATACTGTATATACACCCTCTACACACACGTGCCTGCAGTAAGCATACACTGTTCACTCTGCTAATATGTATTGTATATGTAAGGTACTTTCACACTTAATGAATATATATTTGCTACAAAAAGTACAGGTATCTGCAAAAACTTGTCTAGACAATTTGACAACGGACGAAGGATTTTGACAACCCTACCGAGACAACAGGAATCTTATTGTTCATTTTGACCCCACCCTGTAGATACTTTCTGTAGCCAGTGTATGGTATACGTGGAGAATTTAGGAGATTTTCGCTGACAATTTTAGACATTTTTATAGAGAAATTTGGACATTTTTAAGGAAAATTTTCAGAGAAAGAAATTGCATAGTAATAACTTTTTATATCAACATTGCTTTAACAGTACAGTCAACCCTCACTTTACGCGGTCCCACTTTCCGCGTTTCCACGTTTATGCGGTGCCCTGCCGGAACCCAGGATGCTCACATTCCGCGGTGCGTGTACCCCTTTACGCGGAGAGCGGCTGGCGAGCCGTGCCATTTTTGGATCCAAACCTCCCACCATCTCTCCCGCCCTCTCCCGCCATCCACCATGTTGTGTAAGCGGCGCGAGCATGGTGCGCACAAGGTCGCCCAGTCATCAAAACATTACCGAGTTCTTCACCCGCCACCCGCCACAGCCGGCCCAAGTCAGTGATAATGATAATTATAGTGAGGATATGGACTTATATGGACTTTGAGGGGTTTGACAAAGAGGCCCTGCAAGCCTCTGTGGTGGATAGTGATACAATTGATACAAGCGATACAGGTGAGGGCCAATAATCTGCCCTCTGCCTCGGAACCAACCGCCCTTCCCCGTGTGCCCAGCCATCTTTTCTACTTATGTAAGTGTTAAAAAACCTATTATTATTGATATTTCTCTTAATTATTAATTGTGTGTGCATACCATCATAAAGTTAAGATAATATTTTTACTACAACATAGTTGTGTGTCGTCAAAAAGTGGAGTTTGGGGGGTCGGCCCGGTCTCTATTTCAATTAATCCCATATATTATGTAGTTCACTTTACGCGTTTCTCACTTTCCGCGGTACCCTGTAGGTTATATTAACTGTGTAAATTGAGGGTTGACTGTATTCTTGGCTGGTTGTATCCTAGTACAGTAGTGTACAGTACTTATACAGTACTGCACAATGCATCTCTTATGCAAACACAGCAGTTAGAGAGCAAACAAGATTGTACAATGACAGCAGACGGTGAACTCGGTGTCATGATGCTAGAGTTTGAGATAGGCTGTGAGATACATCAGCCAATCATAGGCATCCCATGCAGTCACATGACAGTGCACACTTCTTGGGCTCCCCCTTGGTTGCACTAGCCTCCACCACTTTCCTTTCAGACTCCATTCCTGTTGTTCCCATATTCCTATCTTTTCTGCCTCGAGCTCGTCATCTGGTGGATGCCCACCTGACTAGAGATCACAGCTTGAGATTGAAGAAGCCATAAGTTAAAAAAAATTGTCAGGGCGTTGTAATGGCACGGCGTGTGAGTTCATTCAAGACCAAACTAGACCAACGCTGGTGCAGGTACAGATACTTGCTGGAACCATCACGTGCCCAATACTCGCCAACAGTGCATAACAGACTGCCCAAGTGGCTAGCAAGCCAAAAGGTGGCGAAGAGGATAAAGTATTGCTGTAATTCCACTAGTTCAGTAATTTTACATACAGTACTTGAAAAAGATAATAATATCTGTTTTAGCGTTTGATCTTGCAGATTTACTATTTATTTCATTATCCCAGTCTTGTCTTCAGATTTTGAGATTATAAAAACACGGATGCATTGCTTTGTCTTTATTTGTATGGTGTCTGGTAAGCGAGTGCATAGTGGACAAAGAAGGCATTAAGATGGACCTATTCATGTTGACCAAAGCAAAATATAGGATGCAGTTCTTGGTTTGCTCTTCTAAATACTGAATAACATTACTGTAGTAACTACACATGTATATAAAACATACACTCAATATCCAGAAATGTATAGTACAGTCTGTCCTTCACATACGCGGGTTTAGCATTCACGGATTCGCAAATACGCGGATTGCCCCGCCGGAGGAATATTCTGTACATTGAAGTACATTCAAATCGCGCGCCATTCAACTCGCGCGCGGCACCGAACACGGGACACCGCCCGCTCCCGCAACCACACACACACACACACACACACACACACACACACACTGAAGGGTCAAGACGTACCTGGCGCTCCTCTCGGAGCAGCCAGGTCAACTGTTATGTTGGCCCATACCAACTCCCTCCCCTGAACCCTCCTCCCCACCGGAATATCAACATGTTCTCGCCAGAAGTTACTATTTCATTTAGGAAAGGAATGGAACCAGTGTTAAACAGAGGTGAACAGTGGTGAACAGTGCTTAAGTCAGTGAGGAGAACTCAACAGTAACAGTAGTACCCAAGTTAACCTTCACACAGTGAGGTCCCAGGTACCCAGTGATAACGGCCCGTGAGACCCAACAATCAGCGATGTGTTAATCCGTCTACGATAGGAAGGCCTGGAACCACACCTCACTCATATAACACCATCTGTGAGGGAATTACTACACCACGTGAGGCCCCTCATAACACCATATGTGAAGGTTACTACACCACGTGAGGCCCCTCATAACACCATCTGTGAGGGATTACTACACCACTAACACCACCACGTGAGGGCCCTCATAACACCATCTGTGAAATTACTACACCACGTGAGGCCCCTCATAACACCATCTGTGAGAATTACTACACCACGTGAGGCCCTCATAACACCATCTGTGAGGAATTACTACACCACGTGAGGTCCCTCATAACACCATCTGTGAGGGAATTACTACACCACGTGAGGCCCCTCATAACACCATCTGTGAGGGAATTACTACACCACGTGAGGCCCCTCATAACACCATCTGTGAGGGAACTACTACACCACGTGTTTGCTGTTCAACACCTACAATAATCTGTATGTTCACTGTATGTTCCTTTACCTTTCTCTAATGAAGGCTTTTGTTAAACCACTAATGTATGTAATAAGTCATTTATGTCCAATGTATATTTTCAGCCTTCGGGCTGCAGAACTTTTTCAATAAACCGTCAATTATTATTATTATTATTATTATTCTTATTATTATTATTCTTATTATTATTATTACACACACACACACACACACACACACACATAGCTCTCCCTCACTCAGTCAAGTCTCGCTGTAACCACGCTTGTGTTGACAGCAGCATTGTAGTTGCAAAAATATTACATTTCCGTGAATGTATTATATCAAGCACAGTATGAATAGAATATCACTAATATAAGAGTATTTTAACCGAAAACTACTAAAAAAACGAGTAACATATCTTGAACATCGGAAGGCTAGGTAAAGTCTTTTGTTTTCATGTGGTTTATCCTAATTTACATTGAAATGCATTACGTTTCAGTAAAATTACTATTTATATCTGAGAATATGGAAATGTAATATTTTGCTGAAATGACGTACATATTACAGTGGAAAGTGACTAAAGCATTGACTCGGATTTTTATCATTCACGGGTATCTCTGTTACCTAACCCCCGCGTATGTTAAGGGCCGACTGTACAGTATTTGGATTAATATCATGTTTTTATATACAGAATATTTCTTTTCAGAACATTTGATTGCAACCACCTGGTACGTGCCTATGGAGTTTTGCCAGGAGACAAAGACATGTTATTGGTGATGGAGCTCATGAGTCGAGGTGACCTGTTACAGTACCTGAGATCACTGAAGGCTCGTAACAATGATATCTTCACTGTCCTCAGTGTTGAGGTATGTTTATCACAGCCATCTTAATATGACCATTTATAATTTTTTTTCTCTCTTGCTAGCAAAGACCAAGGACATTTGTAATTTGCCCCTGTTGGTTTAACTGTTCAAAAGTTTGGTCTGACTGTCAACCCATCTTACCCACCAGTGATTTGTCTCTTTTTTTTCTTAATACAGTATACTGTATAAATTTCTCCTACACGTGATGAAAGTATAAATTTGATATATAGTGGTACATTACAGTTTAGATCATAATTTTTAACTAAAAGGCTGGTGGTACAGTGGTAAAACATATAACTCGCCAATATGTCAATGTATATATATATGTATATATATATATGTGTATATATATATATATATATATATATATATATATATATATATATATATATATATATATATATATATATATATATATATATATATATATATATATATATATGTATATATATATATGTATATATATATATGTATATATATAATTTATTGTATTTTTTTAACTTTTTTAACTTGGTATTGTTCTGTAATTGCTTATCTTGTTAATCTATCAAATTGATACTTATATTTGCTATAATTTACTTGCAGCAAGTGTGTGCCATGGCAATACAGATAGGAGATGGAATGGCATACTTAGCGAGTCACAAATTTGTTCATCGAGACTTGGCTGTCCGCAACTGTCTTCTTGATGATAAACTCAACATAAAGATTTCCGACTTTGGCATGACAAGAATGACTGACAAAGACTACTATGAAATGAGTAAGGCACTGTTACTATCACTTGATGATGAAGGATCTTTGTTTTTATCTCCCTGTAATTATTCTGTTGAGTATCATAAAGCCTTGCCCAAATGTTCCCATGGTCTTAGGTCTTGAACCTTTCTTGCCCGCTGAGTATATTACTCCTAAATTTCCTAATGCATTTAGGAACTAATCTTTTTCTGACTATTTCTGCAGCACTTCTTTTGCCCTTACAGTGTTTCCATATTTTAATTGGAATCATGCTCATTCATATATTTTTTAGTCTCTACAGGTTATGTACAGTATAACATATTGTACATCTTGTTTTACCTTTCTTGAGTAGTTTAAAGTTTATCATTTATGCATTGGTCAGATATTTCTATTTTTAGATGGAGCATCTTGCTTTTGAATATATGACTTAGCTTTCCCAAAACCCTTGCCATTGACACGGATTTCCTTAAATGATTTGCAGTGCTGTATTTTACATTACAAATATTCATTTCCCCAAGTATGTATATTAATGACTTCTAGTATTTATTGGTGATCTGTATTGAGTGGGAATTTTTTAGCCTGCAGTTTTATTTTTTGAAAGGGTCATTTCAATCCTTCCCATGTACCGTATTTTTCGGCTTAGAAGACGCACTTTTTATGGTTGAAATCGGATTTTGTTTGAAGTCTAATATTGTATTAAGTGTTTCTGTAAAAAAATTATTTGTTTATATATAATTGCCCAAAGGTCAATTGCTCTGCAGTTTTATAAGTAATTTTTTGTGTTTCATTTTCTGCACAGGTTTGAAAAAAATTTACATAGTTTTTGATCCCCTACTTCTGGTGTTGTACCATCAGTTATTTTTATTCCCCAATCATATCCTCACCTTGTCTGATGTAGAGGTCTGATTAGAAAGTGTGTGAGGAGGCTGGGACAAAAGCAGGGGGACAAGCTTCGCCCCCCTCAGGATCACACTAGTGAGTGAGGAGAAGAAATGGGAGGTTATTTGGCAGGCAAAAACTTAGCAAGGAGCGAGGCATTTCGGAATGTATTCATTCACCCAGATCACATGGTAATGCAGAGGGAACATCACAAGAAGCTCCTGTAGGGCTTGAAGCAGAAGAAGAAGAAGTTGAGGAGGAACAGGGATGGGTGTACATGGGTTATATTCAGGGGGAGGGTAGTGGAAGCAAGTGTGCCGACACAGAGCCAGGGAGCAGCAACGCACTCTACCCCCCACCCGGGAGAAGGCACCAGCTCCACCTATCAGACAGGAGGAGGCGAGTGCTGTGTAAACAATGATATTTCTAACCACACCCTGCAAAATTAAGTGTACTTAGCAAATGCTGCAGCTTTTGAGAATGGGGGGGGGGAGGCGGAGTTACTAATATGAGCAGAGACGTTACCGAGAACAAATTTTGGCTTGAATGTCATGTGCACTAATACTGATAGGTTCCTTGATAAGAGAGAGGAGTTTGAAACACTACTAAAGGTACACCAACCCAATATTGTAGGAGTTGTAGAACTGTTGTACAAGAACAGGAAAATCAACCCAGAGGAATGCGAGTTCAGTATTGCTGGATACAGTCAGTTCTGCTATAACGCGATAGTTGAGTTATTGTAAAACATCGTGTTATAGAAATTCGCGTAATAGAAATGACAGGGCTTATGGAAAAAAAAGGGTTAGGTGCAGATCACTACTCGAAATCGAAAAAATTTTAGTAGTTAGCCAAACACAAAGGATAGCACAGTCTAAATAAATGTTACATTCTTATCTAATAATGAAATCATACAGTAAATGTAACACTTTACCGTGAAAAAGTATGAATATAACTTGATGGGGGAGAAGGGTGATTTTGAGGTTGATAACATCGAGCTTCTCTTCAAGTGTTATAGCCTTTCTTTTACGATCATCACCAGGAATGCGATCACCAGAACGCTTCTTGGAGATATTCTTCTTTACCATATTCACAGTTAATACCACAAAATTGGAGAAATAGTAAGCAAAAATTGCGTTACAGCAAACAAGCGTTCGCGTTATACAAACATCGTTCCTCTATTCATAATTCGCGTTAGAGCCAATTCGCGTTGTCAAAACACAGGTTATAGCAGAACTCACTGTATGAGTCTTTTATGAACCTTTCTCAAGAAACTTGCAAGAGGGGTGTGGTTATCTATGCTAGGCAAGACCTTAGAGCCAGCCAGGCTAGGGTACAGGGAGAGGATGTTTTTGAAGAGTCCAAGTGGTGTAAAATTAAACTAAAGGGAGGGGACTTACTTATTGTCAGTTGATTGAAAATGTTCTAAGGAGTGCCACCAAACTGGTGTGTGCACTTCAGTACTTCAACTACCCAGAAAGATTGGAGTGCCTGAACTTGCCTAGCTTATACTACAGACGGGCCAAGGGGCGACCTAATTGGGGGTGTATAAGCTTCTCAAGGGGCACTACTCAGTCGATTCCTTACCTGGAGCTGGCAGACGCTCGCCCCACAAGGGGTCACAGCTCAATGTTGAAGAAGCAGCAGGTCCAGAAAACTGTGAGGGCAAACTTTTTTGGAATGAGAGTTGTGGACTCTTGGAACAATCTGCCAGAAAGTGTTGTGTTGGCACCAAGTGTGGGCTATTTCAAGACAAGACTTGACCAACACTGGAGCAGGTTCAGGTACATTCAGGAGGCGGTGCATGCCCAGTACTTGCCCACAGCGAGTGACAGAGACATGACCAATCGCCCAAGCGGCTAATGAGCCGATCAGTGGTGAAGAAGATAAAAGTAAAAAGGTATTAAATCTTTTAGACTTTTTCATATAGCAATTCCATACTTTTATTTGATAGTAATGATTGGTTTGTTCTGTTATTATTCCCCTTTTGGCTATGTTGTTGGATATATGGCTCTGAACTCTCCATTGTATCTTTTCATGTGTTTTGCAGATAAAACAAAGTATCTCCCTGTGCGTTGGATGCCCCCGGAGTATCTCAGCAATCGAAAATTCACCAGCCAGAGTGATGTGTGGAGCTATGGTGTTGTCATTTGGGAAATCCTCTCTGGAGGAGCACGGCCATACCAGGTAAACCCATATCTTTTATGGAATCAAGGCCCTGTCCAGTAAAGCAGGTTTCATGGTTGAAATTCTATTGGGGGAACCACAATTCTTGGGTAAAGAGACTGCTTGGGAATCCAAAATCTGTTGAAAAATAATTACAGTATTGGAGATTTCATGCCAAATACAAACCATGAAACTCAAGAAAATTTTTCAAAGGTCTAATTGCAGAAAAGTGCTTTCTCACACATGTAGCCACTGTAGCTGATGACATCACATGAGACATTAGCATTGAAGTGGCAATTTAGACGAGCAGCCTTGACTGCTGCCATAGAGTGTACAGTACAGTATCACACTTGGTTTTCATGGTGCAGACTGGGCATTCATATGGTAATAAATGTTTCTTATACAATGATACCTCAGTTAGCAAAACTCATAGAATGCTGTTTTGTGTTTGCACTTTTGCTTGCATCTTAGAGCTCTAGTTTTATTTAAAAAAAAAAAGGGAAAGTAAAATTTAAATCAAACTTGCAATTGTGGCCATGGCTAGGCCCACCATTCCCTCCTTCAGCAAATTTACACATGGTGTCATCTCTTGTACCTAGGTATTTGCTCTTGTTTGGCCTTTATCACAATACAGTATATATTTTAATGGCAAATTAGGTAATATATTTTATAAAATAAATTAATCTTTTATGAAATGTACTATTGTACAGTACAGTAGATCCTTGCCATTCGCGGGTTTGCAATTTGAGATTTCGACGATATGCGGTAAGGAGATGGTGGCTATGGTGGCTAGCTTGCAAGCCTTTTCCCGCATCACAATGAATCGCCCCACACAGCGTCTTGTGTTGCACTCTCAAAACTTTAGTGTTTTTGTGCTAGTGGAATGAAATGTAAAAGGCAGAAGTCAGTGATGACCCTAACAAAGAAAGTTTATTATTAGATAAGTTAAAAGAGGGGACCAGTGCTGCTGTGGCTGGTCAGTTGTTTTGTATAGGTATACAGTAATGCACTTAGGTAGATTAAGTTGCTATTTGCGGCTTTGCCAATTCTTGTAATTTCTTGGAGCCTATCCTCACGAATGGCAAGGGTCTACAATATATAACTTACGGTATGCACTTATAATTATGGTAACCTTCTCATATTTATTTACCGACACAGTTATATTTACAATTCCAAATGATAGTACCTGTACTGTAAATGTTGTATAAAAATTCCTTGAGATAAATGTGCAGTACTCTGTATATAATCAAGTGCCAGTAAGAGAGCTCAAGTTTTCAACTGGCTCAGCCATGTCAATACAGTACTGTATTGTTATTATTGTCCACTCTGTATCTGTATTTTTCTGGCTAAATAAATGGTTTCACTCAATTCATCAACAACTAAAATTACTAAAATTTCCAAATTTGGGGCAAAATAAGCAAAAGATCACTAAATTAATGTTATACAGCTACCCATGGCTTTCTGCATAAGCTATAACTATGGCCACATTTCAACCAATGGCATAAGCAATAACTGTGCATGCGAGACACAAAATGAGACCCACTATTTCAACATTACTTATGTGACCTACCACACATCACCCTAATTTGCTTAAAGCTTGCTACAAATTGATAGCACTCTTTTATGTATAGTAGCTAAAACAACTATCTGTGCAGGTGGGGGTCGACATGCTCCGAAATTTTTCGTGTGACTAGTGGCAGCCCTCATATACCAAAATTTATCATCCATGGTGTCGTATTGTTTCCCACAAAGTATGCACAGATAGTTGCTTTAGCTATTGTACATGTACTTTCCAGGATATGGATGACTTCCTTTCCTGGAGGCTATCCATAAGCCAGAAGTGACCCTTCCTTAGGGTGCATAATTTTTTCTTGGACCTTTAAAGTGTTCTTCAGAATCTGAATGAGGACACTTGAAAGGTGCAAACAATATAATGCACTCCACATTTCCAGGTTTACTATAAAATAGGGTTTGGTTGTCAGACTACATGGAGCCTCATGCCATGTTTATACAATTGAGAGAGGCAGAGCACATAAATCTATTTTAAAAACTCAAGATTTTTTTCAGCTCCAAAACTACAATGCTATATGAATGTTACCTAATTTATCATGTACTTAATAGAAAACTGCATTAAGTAAAACTATGTTTACCCCCCCCCCTCCCCCCCCAGACTTCGGGTCACATCCTGTGACGTGCGTCTGTATAGCTTTGGGGTCACATCACATGACATTTTGATCTATCATGGGCCTATTTAAATAAAAAGGGCAGTCCTGGCTAGTTTATGTTGCCAAGTAGGTAATTATTTTTCACTCGCTCGCACATGAGAGCCTCCCAGTCTCGGCTTTTGTGATGTAGGAATCTCGCCCTTGGTCTCGACTCACTTCACCATGTGTTTGTACCTCCACAACCCCCCAAAGCACAAGTCTAGTATTATAATCAATTACTGGAGCAGTGATAATGATTGTTAACAGTGTAAATAGTAATAACCATAAAATAAGTGTCCTGTACTTTATACTACCTAAAAATAGTGTCGCTTACCTTGTATTATTGCGTCATACATAAGCCACTTCATGAACATTCTTGATTTCCTAGCCCCTGTGGTAAGGACATATATTTATTTCCTGTTTATAACATGCATGACCAGTTAGTAAGACTAGAATTGCTTTTTATTTGTTTTTAAAATGTTCCTGAATATATACGTACCACGCGTGTGGGGGGTTGCTGACCATAGCCCACCAACAAGGAATACCTGTTCAGTGACATTTGTTTAGCTCCATCATTAAGTACAGTGGTCCCTCGGTTAACGAACACAATTCGTTCCAGAAGGTCGTTCGTTAACCGAAACCATTGTTTTAATGGGATTTTGGGAAATTGGTTCCAGCTCACCGAAAATTACATACAAAGTAAAAAAAAAATGCAGTAAAGTACACTTACTTTGAGGTGTGTATGTAGAAGGCTCCTGGTTGATGATGATGGGAATTAAAAGTGGGGGTGGAGGAGAAGAGAAGGAAGTGGGGGTGGAAGAGAAATCACCCCATGCTTGATGCCATCATTTTACCCATAAAATTTTAAGTTCACTTGGTGTAATTCAAGATTATTTTCTTTAAATCAACAATGCACTGCACTATATATTGTCAATATGTTAAATAAATTTCAGAATGACCAATAATTGTACTTTAAAAATGTAAAAATACTCTTGTGTTCAAGAGACCCTTAAGCAAGATGTTTCCTCCACTGAACAGAGATACAAACTGAGGCCTTGGTGGGTGAGTGAAGTGGCTGATTGGCGCACCTAAAACTAGTTTCCTGTATTGCAATTATGTTAAATAAGTGTTAAAATGACTAAAAAATATAATATAATACTTGGAAAATTATTGAATAGTACAACCTTCTTGATATTTACTCCAATTTTAACGAATGTAAGCCCTAGAACCGATTTCTGTATTGGCAGACTAATCTTCCAGCTGGTGAGCAAGCCAAAGCATGTCGAAACATTTTCGTATGAATTTCGTTAACCAATTTTTGTTTGTTAACTGAATTGAATATTCATATGGAAGGTAATTCGTTAACCGAGGGACCACTGAACTATATAAAGTTACTGTGTACTGTATACTGGTAACCAATTTTCACTGTATCCTTCAAGATCAAATGCCTTTCTACCAAGAGGTGTTAGACTGTAATTTCATCCCCCCAAAATATTTCAAACTGTTTTACAATGTATTTTTAGTAAGTGCTACAGGTAGTGTATTTATGATTCTGTGACATGGAAGGGTGGGTTCTGCCTGAATTAAGCAGATTTTATACTTCAATTAACTGAAGCTTTGAGTGATGAATTATGCATTGAAAAATATGGGGATTGGGTGGGAATTATCTGTACATTACTACTTTGTTTTAACCCCACCTCCAGGATCTAAATTTCATTAAACTTAGTGGTGAGTGCTGCTACAATTGCCTGGCTGATGGATAGAGTACTACAACTTGATTCTTTATGGTAACCATAGCCTGTGTTATTGTAGTAATTCTTATACATTTTTCTAATAGTATGTAATACTCCTCAGCACTTGGAGGATAATGCAAAGGTGATGGATGTGGTTATAAATGGTTACACCTTAGAATCCGATTTGCCAAGAAATACACCCCAGTTCCTGGCCGAGATTGTAGTGAGCTGCTGGAAGTTCCATGGCTGTCAAAGGCCATACTTTCCTCAGATAATTACTGCTCTGCTCCAAAATACCTCTTCACAATTTCTTGAACACTTCAGGTACAGTAACTAATGTCATATTTTCCTAGTGGTGGGTTAATAAAGGATCAACAAAATGTTCTGTTGAGATTTTGATCAAGAATTTCATGTTTTGATTTCAGGTAGCATTTGAGTGCTGAAATGGGATAAAAGTGTGATGGTCATTTTTATTAACTTCATTGTACCCTGGTGGTCTGTCATGTGATTTTAAATATAATTCTTAACATTTCTGGATGATTGTATATCACACTTATTTCTTAATGTCTCCTACATTTATATACAGTAGCTCTCATTCTTTCTTCTTCTTTCCTCTTTAGTTTTCCACTTATTGTATATACACTTATTTAGGCAACTCCATTTTTTTCCATATTTTGTTAACTTATAATATTGAACTTAGCAGAAATTTTTAGTTAATGTTTGTGTCAGAGGTACAGTAGGTCCCTAAGTTTTGCTCCTTACTTTGTAAAGATTTTACATGAATCGGACCACTTTGCCTGTGGAGGTTGAGGAGATAAGAGTACATTTGCATTCTTTCATGATTGTAGGTGTTTATTAAAAAACAAGTATGACCCAAATTTGTCTAGAACAACTTGTAAATATACCATAGGCTGAGGACTTAGGAAGCCAGGAGGCTTTTTTCCCCATAAGCAACTCCAGCCCTTGAAACCGAGATAAATTTCCATTCTGTTATAAAGCAGGAAACATGACAAGCTCACTTTCTCAGTTGTCTGTCCAGGAGAAAGTGCAAACTTTCATCTCTGCTTCATTATCAAAATTTTATAGTCATTTGCCACACTTGGTAATGGCAAGAGTACTTTATACAGGGGGTATATTCATATACAGTACAAGTTTTTGACAAAATTTTTGAAGGAAAATTTGACTTAGATGTGGGTAATACTTTCATGAGGTTGATCCATGCATCTTGGGGGACAAAATTTAATCTTTAAGCATGAAAAGTATTTACTATGGCCTTTAATTTTTTCTCATCTATACATAGATATGAATTGATGCAGAACTAAAGGTTAATTTTTAGAATTTCGTCTTGAACTACTATCATACCTCTTCCAATGAAGCCTCGGCCAACGTTCAGGAAAAACTATTAATTTAATAAATACAGTCAACCCTCGCTTTACGCTGTCCCACATTCCGCGTTTCCACGTTTACGCGGTACCTGCCAAAACCGGAATGCTCACATTCCGCGGTGCGTGTACCCCTTTACGCGGGTGAAGTATAATTTTTTTATTTAGCTCATAAAATTCGTACAAATTATCTGGCCAGAATATAATTTACATTGCTGGAATTCTTACAATTTGATGATCATTTTGAATATAAGCATCATAGATTTTGCATTAGACATACAAATTTTAGATATAATGTAAGTATTTTGTTTACTCTGAGTAAATATGTTATCTTTTGTGCAAAATATATGACATTTGTATTCAAAATATTCCTGGTCTTACAAGGAATCCAGCAATGTCAATTATATTATCCTAACTTTAATCTGAGGTATTATTTAATACTAAATGTTAAAATCTAGTTTTTCACCCAACATTTCTCTTGTAGGGAGGGTTGGTGGGGGGTAGGGGGGAGGGTTGGGACGGACCCACCATCTGGCGCGGTTGGAAGAGGGGGGGAGGCAAGGTGGGGTACTTTGATTGACAGATAGTGTCGTGAAGAATATTTTTTTTATTATTAACTGAAGATATTTGTTTTAGCTCATAAAATTCATACAAATTACCCGGCCAGAATATAATTTACATTGCTGGAATTCTTACAATTTGATGATCATTTTGAATATAAACATCATAGATTTTGCATTAGACATACAAATTTTAGATATAATGTTTACTCTGAGTAAATATGTTATCTTTTGTGCAAAATATATGACATTTATATTCAAAATATTCCTGGTCTTACAAGGAAGCCAGCAATGTCAATTATATTATCCTAACTTTAGTTTGAGGTATTATTTATTAAAATCTAGTGGTTTTCCCCCAAAAATTTCTCAGAGGGAAGAGCCAGCAATGTAGTGTAAGAAGAGGGGGAGGGAGTTGAGTCCATTATTTGAATGGACATTAACTTGGCGACTGTATTTCTCTATTTCTCTTAAGTATTAATTGTGTGCATGTACCATCATAAAATTAAGATGTTATTTTTACTAGAACATAGGTATTGTGTCGGAAAAAGTAGAGTTTGGGGGTCGGGCCAGTCTCTATTGGAATTAATCCCATATGTTCTGTTGTTCACTTAACGCGGTACCCTGTGGGTTCAATTGACCTTGTAAAGCGGGGTACTACTGTACTTGAAATCTGTTTTCTATACTGATACTTAAGTAACCCTACCCAAGGCAAGCAACTATAAAACACTAATTTAAAAGAAAAAAAAGAAAATAAATAAAAAAGTCTTCCCCCACATCCTAGCTAAAAAAATTTCCTGGGCCGAAACTGCATGCTATTTATGCAATTTTGCATATGAAAACCCCAAGAGTGTTAAGATCCTGTTCAGTAAATGCCCAGAGGAGCAAAAAGTCCCGTGACTGGAAATTGGCTTATGTGATGCCTATATTCAAGCAGGGCGATTGTCACTCCACAAATAATTCTAGACCAGTGAGCCTGATCAGCAGAGTGAAAAGTACTAGAGGGCATTAGAAGAGATGCCATGATGAAACATCTATTACCAAACAACCTTGTGTAGGACTGCCAACATGGTTTCATGCTCAGACTCTCCTGCTTGACACAGTTCTTCAAGGTGTTGGGTATTTGGAGTTAAATTCTGGAACAGTGACAATATCAACAATATATGTATATACTGAATCTGGATTTTGCCAAAGCTTTCAACAGCGTACCCCATGTAAGGCTGAGAATTAGACTGGAATGGTAGGGGATTCAGGGAAGTGTCCTAGCATGGATCGGTGACTTTCTTCAAGACCGCAAGGAGTGTGTGGTGATTCATGAAATGAAATCGATGTGTACATGTGAAAAGTGGGTTAGCATAGGACAATGTACTGGACCCGTTGTTCATTGTTTGTTTAATAAATGAATTGTCAGAAGCTATACACTCCTCCGTACAATTGTTCTCGGGCGATGCGAAGTTATTCAGGGAAATTTAGAGCCAAACGGATTCTGAATAGCTACAGAAAGATCTTTTGTCAGCTTCAGTAGTGGTCAAAGGAATGGTTGTTAAGATTCACTGTCACAAAATGGAAGAGGGTGCACCTAGGTCATACCAACAGTAAGGAGGCCTATCACATATCCCAACAGGACAAAGTAACAGCTTTAATGGAGACTAGATGTGAAAAGGACCTGGTTGTGTGTGATGATAATGAACTGAAGTTCTCAGGCCATTGTGAGAAGGTGAATCGAGCAACTAAGCTAGTGGGTATTTATAAGAAGGGTGTTCAGATACAAACTTTTTTGGAGTGAGGGTTGTGAAATATTGGAACAATCTGCCAGAGAGCATTGTGATGGCACAAAGTGTAAGCATTCAAGACCAGACTTGACCAACACTGGTGCAAATACAAATACTTTGTTGCCAACAGTGCGTAACATAGACGTGACCAACCACGCAAGCGGCTATCAAACCGATCAGTGGCTATGAGTATAAAATAAAGTATAAAGGGGAACACAAAGGACTAAGGAGAAGGACACAGAGGTCTAGAGAGGGACACAAAGGTCTAGAGAGGGGATATAAAATACTGTACTAGAGAGGAAGACACAAAGGACAAGGGCAGGGACACACAGGACTAGAGAGAGAGAGAGACGTACCGGGTAAAGGTCTTCGAGAGCAGGACACAAAGGACTAGCTAGGGAAGGACAAAGGATTAAACGGAGATCACAAAGGACGAGAGAGGGGGACACCAATGGTCAATTTAGGGGGGGGAGGTTGGTCAAAACTCGCCTCGCTTCATGTTAGACAAGATCATGAAATCATGTACTACAAGTAACATATTGCTGTACTTATGTTTCAATAAAGACATTGAAAAGAAATAACAGGCTGATTCATGAATACATTATCCATAATTAAGGTAAGTTTGGGAGGTTACTTGAGACTAGCCTGGCATCATGCTAGACTAAATCATGTATGAATAATATATGATGTTTCATTAGAGATATTGAAAAGAAATAACAGGCTGATTCGTGAATACATTACCGGTAACTAAGGTAAGATTGGGAGGTTAGTATCATAAGCATTGGAATTTTACAACCTCTCCCATCTTAAAATAAACATTAATTATTAATGGTTTTGATATTTGCAGGAGTAAATCCTTCTACCACACATCTGAAGGTCAAGAATATAAAATGTTAGTGGAAGCCATGCAAGATGTTGAGGATGACAATGATGTAACCACACTTCTTACTTCATCATCTCTGCCACTATCACTGCTTAGTGACCAAGGGCCACCATTACCACCGAGAAGTCATAAGTACAGATCTCAAGTTCGACTTCCTAGCCAAGCTACTCTAAAGGATCCCCAGCACCATCCACACACTGGTGCAACAGACAACATGCAGTTTTTCTCACTTCGTCAGCATGAGGCAAGAGACAGTAACATCAATGATGTGACGCTGCTACCTCATACAAATTCATCTCTTTTAAATGTGGATTTTGCAAATGTAGGTAATTCAATGTCTTCTGAAAGTAACTTAATTTCTACAACCAGGACAGATCGTGGCTGTTGCCCCAAATTCACTATAAATAAGCATGATGCTGCAAGATTCAACATTACGGAAGACAGCCAACCAGGGACTTTTGCAAACCCTACCACAGTACCAAACAATGTAGTAGTTCATATAAATGAAAGTGGCTTGCCTTCCTCGACTCTTTCCAGCAGCACTGCTTCCAATGTTAATAGAAAAATTATCCCAGACTTATGTTGTACCATATCTCCTAAATATTGTCACATGCCACATTGATGTTATCCTTGAAAGCTACAGGGCATTACTGGTATGTCTATTGAGAGAATTACAGTTGTGTTCTTTTGTTCTGTAATGCCATCAGTATTGTATAAGCTAGTAACAGTCATTCATGGAGAATGTAATTCTTTCTAAATGAATTTGCAGGTGAACAATTTACATTTTACCCATGTGGAGTGGACCTGTATAGGCTTGTCAGTACTGCAAGTTTCATTTGTGTAGATGGTTTCATCTAACCCTAGAAGAATACTAGAGGCCTTCAAAACATGGTATCACAGGGAAATGCTGAAGATAAATTGTACCGATATAAAAGCAATAGTAATATCTCCGTTAGCTGGAATCCCTCAAATTTGGAACTCTCCAATAGCTGGAATTTAAATTTTCTAGGAAAATCATTCCCAAAGACGGAAATTTCCGGAAAATTCCAGCTTTGGGACCGATTTTCGAGGGGCACATTTTCCATAAATTCTGGGGATGGGGGAAGTTTGTTTTCTGGGTTTGAGAGATGAAAATCTGGTGCATTTTCCCAAAATTGATAATTTTCCGGTACAGAGATACCCGGAAAATTCCAGGGAGGGAGAATGTTTTTCCTGGTTCGAGAGATGATGTAATGGGCAATTTTCTGGGGATGAGGGATTTTTCCGAATTAGAGAGTCCTTTCGTTACCTGGAAGTCTCTCATTCCCGGAAGAGCTCTGCACCAATTATTTTGGCTAACGGAGATATCACTGCAGTAGCTGTAAGCCTGGCTAAAACAAGAAGAGAAAACTACAAATTTACAGGATAAGAATATTCTTTGACCATAAAATACTGGTAAAGATATTAAAATTTAAAATTAACTATAGGAGGGCCAGATAAAATACATAAAGCACTGGGGGTTTTAACCTTAAATAAGTTACTGTAACTAACTGACAAAGATATCATTATATTTTATTAAAATGGGTTGATTATATCAAATAAATATGTTCAGACAGCTGAACTAAATCATTTTACATTCTCTTTCCACCCATCCCTCCATCCTAAGGGATCTACTAAGCAGCTAGGTAACCTATGCACCTGGTTAAGAGGAGGACCTCCACCAAGGGCTCTAGAGGAGGGCCTTGTGCTCCTGAATAACATGATAATGTAACCTGTTAAATATCTGGTCTCAAAATGTACAACAATTTAAATAAATATACACACATAATATATACAGTACAAAATATGTCCATGTTGGAGCTAAAAATGTAAAATGGAAGTCTTAGAAAATTAAGCCTGTTCTAGTCTAATACTATGTCTGACAAAAATTAAATACACCTGACATATCTGATAATTGCTTTATTCACAGCAACTCTGTAGTGGGCTAGTGGCAGACAAATCCTAGCAAGGTAATGCGCTATACCAGCTAGCCATGTCACTTGCGGCAAGCCCCACAGGTCACCACTGAAGCAGCTCTGCCACTCCATACATAAAAAGCCGAAGGATTGAACACATCCTTAGTTTCGTACTAACTAAACTATTTACTTGTAACACCAGTTAAGTATGGGCCAATAGGCCCACTGTAGTTTCCTCCATTCTTATGATCTTTGCTAAACACACTACTGTATATACATAGAGATTAATTACTAATCGTACTCAGAGTGGACAAGTGTCAGCGGCGAGGTAGGTTCCAGCTAAGTGACGTGGCCTGCATTGCTGGCCCCTCACAACAGCTCGAGTAAAGTGAATCTTTAGTTTTGAACTCCAGCAAGACGTGAAATAAGACCGGGTTATTCATTCACATAGCCCCTAAACAGGCTGATAAACACATATCAACTCAATTACATGGACTTATATTCTTATTTACCATATATTAAACAAACAATTATACAAAACAAATTACAAAGGCAATTCACAAGAACACCGACTGAGTAAATCTGCTCTGATCCGTCTGAAGGATAAATTCTTTCCCAATCAAGTAGTTTTTAAACTTGCTGATAGCCCAAACAAAGGCAAGAAGGTTGCATACCTTCATTATCGATCTAGCAGTACTCGAGGATATCATCATCCTGTTGCAGCAGGACTGCACCTAAACCAGTATCTGATGCATCTGTTCTCAGATAAACCAGTTTAGAATAATCAGGTAAACATAATATTGGTTCACAAACTAGAGCTGATTTTAGTTACTTTCTTGTTCATCTGACCAAATCAATTTGTTATTGCTGAATTTCTTTAATAGAAACATTAATGCAAGATACAGTTCCAGCAAAATTTTTAAACTCCGATAGAAAGTTACTGTACTACCTATAAATGACCGTAATTGTTTCTTTGTCCGAGGTACAGGCATTTGCAAAATGACATTTACTTTATCTTCTACAGGCGAAAGCAGATTATTTCCCAAGGAAAATCCCAAATATTTGATAGATGGGTATGCAAAGAAACACTTGCTGGGACCAGCTGTGAATCCATGGGTTCTCAAAGTGTCATACAAGGATTTTAGATCTTTCATATGTTCTTCCCAGGTACTATTATGTACACCCAAGTTATCAGAGTAACAAGCTGTATTTTTAAGGCCAAAGGTCACTTTTCTCATCAATCTAATAAATGTAGTACAAGCATTTTTCAAACCAAATGGTAACAGAATTACAGCCTCCTCAGGATATGAGGAGGCTGGGACAAAAGCAGGGGGATAAGCCTCTCCCCCTTAGGATCACAATAGTGAGTGAGGAGGAGAAATAGGAGGTTATTCGGCAGGTAAAAAAACTTGGCAAGGAGTGAGGCACGTCGGAGTGTATTCATTCACTCAGATCGCACGGTAATGCAGAGGGAACAGCACAAGAAGCTCCTGCAGGGCTTGAAGCAGAGGAGGGAAGAGTCGAGGATGAATGGGGATGGGTGGACATGAGTTATATTCAGGGGTAGGGTAGTGGAAGCAGGTGTGCTGACACAGAGCCAGGGGGCAGCAGCGCACCCCCCACCCGAGAGGTGGCACCAGCTCGGCCTACCAGCCGGGAGGAGGCGAGTGCCGTGTAAACAATGACATTTCTAACCACACCCTGCAAAATAAAGTGTACTTAGCAAATGCTGCAGCTTCTGAGAATGGGGAGGCGGAGTTACTAATAAGAGCAGAGACATTACCGAGAACAAATTCTGGCTTGAATGTCATGTACGCCAATACTTTTACTTTTATCATCTTCACCACTGATCGGCTCGTTAGCCGCTTGGGCGATGGGTCACGTCTCTGATTACTTTAACCTTTTCATTTATCCTCTTCACCAAAAGACCGGCTCGCTAGCCACCCGGGCAATCGGTCATGTCTCTTTCACGCACTGTTGGCAAGTACTGGGCATGCACCGGCTCCTGAATGTACCTGAACCCCCTCCTGTGTTGGTGAAGTCTTGTCTTGAAAGAGCTCACACTTGGTGCCGTCACAACACTTTCTGGTAGATGGTTCCAAGAGTTTACAACTCACACTCTGAAAAAGTTTGCCCTCGCAGTTTTCTGGACTTGCGGCTTCTTCAATCTTGAGCTGTGACCCCTTGTGAGGCGAGCGTCCGCCAGCTCCAAGTAAGGACACTCGACCGAGTAGTGCCCCCTGAGATGCTTATACACCTCAACTAGGTCACCCCTTGCCCATCTGCAGTATAAGCTAGCTAGGCAAGTTCAGGCGCTCCAATCTCTCTGGGTAGCTGAGGTGCCGAAGTGCAGGCACCAGTCCTTGATAAGAGAGAGGAGTTTGAAACACTACTGAAGGTACACCAACCAGATATTGTAGGAGTTGTAGAACTGTTGTACAAGAACAGGAGAATCAACCCAGAGGAATGAGAGTTTAGTATTGCTGGATATGACTCATTTACGAACCTTTCTCCAGAAACTTGCAAGAGGGATGTGGTTATCTATGCTAGGCAAGACCTTAGAGCCAGCCAGGCGAGGGTACAGGGAGAGGATGCTTTTGAAGAGTCCAAGTAGTGTAAAATTAAAGGGAGGGGACTTACTTATTCTCGGGTGTATCTACAGATCCCCAAACTGTAGCCCACTAAATCAAAGGAACTTAAGAGCCTTAATAGACAACGTTACAATGCTCAACCCTAGCCACCTCCTTATCATGGGGGACTTTAACTATGGCGATATCAACTGGAGAAACGAGTTTACCCCAAAGGACTTGAATAACCCTGCTACTCTTTTTGTAGAAATTCTCGGAGATAATTTTCTGTTCCAACATATTAAGAGACCCAACACATTACAGAGGGGGTGTAAACACCCAAGCCACTAGACCTCATCATAACAAGCGAGGAGGGTATGGTGGCCAAGCTGGAACACCTTGCCCCAGTTGGCACCAGTCACCATATAGTGTTGTCATTCAGATTTAACTGTTACCTAGTTAAAGGTAAGGCCAGGCCAAGGTGCAAATATTACAAGGGAAATTACAACGGGATGAGGGGTATCCACTGGCCTGACTCATTGAGGCACAAGAACGCAGACACTACGCTGAATATCATAACTAGTAAAGTGTCCCATTTGATCGATAAATATATACCCAAGACCAAACCCAGTGCCTCTAGGAATACGAGGGGATCCCTACACGTGAACCATGCGGCGGTCAACAAAGTTCAGAAGAAAACCCAGAAATTCAATACGTGGGTTGTGTATGATACTCAGGTGGTCCTTGCACTCAGGGGTAAAGGAAACACTCTGATGTCAAGTCCGTAAGTTCTATTCCTGGCACAAACACAAAGGAGTTGAGACAAGGGTAAACAGCGTCCTGTCTTGGAATCTCTCTGGGTATCTCTCTGCGCATGCGCGTACAGCGTGCATGTGACCAAAGCATGAACTAACACTTGGTGACAAAAGGGAGTGTGATTATAAAACATATAATACAGAGACCTGAATCAATAATGGTAAATAGTACAGAGTTACATATTACAGCCATATTCGTCTCATATATCTACAGGTTGGGTCAAACGATGAGCAGGATAGGTGGATGTATGCAAGAGCTAGAAACCAAGCAAAGATAGAATGTAGAAGGGCTGAAAAGGAGTTCCAGAGGCTGGTTGCAAGCGAGGTCAAGTCAAACCCAAAGGCGTTTTACCGCTATGCAAGGTCGAAATTAAAAACGCGAGTAGGAGTATCAAACCTGAGGCTTGAAGATGGTAGTTATGCAGATTCTGACCAGGATAAAGCCGTGGCATTGAACAGCTTCTTTTCCTCGGTGTTCACAAGAGAGGATGCGATTAACCTTCCTGCATTTGAGGACAGACTGTTCGACACAGCACTGATCCACATTGTGTTCACAGAAGATGGTATTAAAAATAAACTGTCAAAGCTAGTCTTCTGCAGTTCTTTTAAATGCCTTATCATTAACTTTCCTTTCAATTTTCTTATCAATGTCTTCACTATTTTCTTTGCACACTTTGACAAGGGTCTTCCAGTTCTTTAAATAAGATTCAATAGAATCTGTCACTGTGTTCCATCGTGTGTCTGATGGCATTACTAGCATTGTTCCTCTTGCTCTTCTATACAAAGATCCTGGGATGTGATGATTTCTGAAGTACTTAATGATTTCAGTAATGTGCTTCTTGATGTTCTTGATTTGAAGGTCTTGTGAAAGCAAATTTAACAGGTGTGCAGGGCAACCATATGTTATTATGGATTTATCTTGTCCGAATTCACTTCTCATTTTTCCCATATTAGCAGCATTATCTGTTACACAGCTTCTTACTGTGTATCCAAATTTGTCTTCACACTTTTTTGTAGCACATTCAGCTAATTTCAACAGATATTCAGCTGTGTGTCTTGATTCTGTGTCTATAGAGTCAACAAGATAAATACGGTTGTCCGCTGTTAAAGTTATACATACTCTAGGCTCATTGTGGACATTACTCCATCCATCCATGGCCATGCAAACTGTTTTCCCATGTAGAATAAAAAGAGAAAACAGTTATAAGTAAAAAAATCATTTTGATTTAAATCGTGATTTTTTTTACTCTGATTTAAATCGATTTATATCATGTGATTTAAATCATTTGATTTGAAT